CGCCACCGATCCACCAAAGATCGGAAAATTTACTAAGGCTGTCAAATCTGCCAAGTCTAAGGAAGGAAGAKWTTTTGCTAAGAGCGGCAAGAGCGGCAAGRCCTTCAAGAGTGCGAAGAAAGGCAAGAGTRTGAAAGGACAACACATGAATACAAGAGCATATGATGACAAGCATGATGGCTATTACGAAGGAGATGTTGTCGTCGAAGCCGAACACGATGATTATTTCGCAGGAACTAGTTTTGGAGCAGCATTCGTCGACACAGGACCATCGTATGCCGACTACTTTGCATACGATCCTACAACGACAGGACGCACCGAATCAGATGACTACTTCAACCCCGCCCCTAAGCCAAGAAGCGAAGTCGAAGGAAGGAGCAGTTTTCAGCATAGAAGCAGTGCAAACCAACAGCAACAGCAGCAGCAGCGACAACGACAGCGTAAGTTAACGTCTCGCATTGAATGTGACTAAGACGTTTATCTACTCCTTCTCAAAATATATGCCATTTTTCTTTCACAGCAACGACTTTCGATGATGATTTCTTCAATGAGGAAGAGGTTGTTATCTTCCGACCTCGCCCCGTAGTTACTGTTGGAGGCAGTGTTTTTTCGGTGAACCCTCAAACACTTATTCCCCCCCTTGTTCCCGATGGATCGGGYAACACCCTGACTGTAGGTACTCAGTACCTCTTYAGCGAAGAATTGGAAGACGCAGCAAACGTCAATAGTCAGCTGGTTCCAGTAGAAGTGGACAACGCGAGAGTTAATTTCCTTGTTAATCTTGATGGATACTGTGACCGAATCGGGCCTCAGGACCAAAACTCCGTTCAAGGTTATTGCTTTTTCACCTACACTTTCATTGACCCTCAAACACGATTCATTAGTGGAGCTTTCACWGCGCAGGGCATTATTGTGAACTCTCAGGTTCCAGGACAGCTGACAATTACGGGTGGTACCGGAATGATGACCGGAGCCTCAGGACTTGTAGAAGTCCTCCCTGCGGCAATCGACAATGGGAGGAATCCACCCCTTTTGATTCAGCCGCAAGCGGGAGCCGATCCCTTCAATGATGTTAGCGGATGGGCACACTTCTTCGAATTTGATGTCGATGTTTTGTTCTTCCTTCCTGATCTGTACGCGCAATAGAAGTTTAGCGTCAGTCATCTTCGTCTGCAAATGATAAATTGAAATTTGTGTAACTGTCCAATAGAGTAATGTGGTTTAATGAAAAGCTATGTCAGCTAAGCCAGATATAGTATGAAAATATTTGATCTAAACTTGTCTAATATTTGTTACGGCAATCAGTGAAGTAGCYATCATTTCCTTGTTTACAATTGAATTTGAAATCCATTACACCTGTACAAGTTTTTAAGACGGCTATGGCCGCGCCTTGCGTTACAACCTATACACTATGAATCCTGGGGCCCTATCATACTGGTACATTAGCATTCGTAATCGTCTACTCGGATTGTGCATTCCGTGGTGAAACGTGAAAACGGGTTGTAGAAAAGTGACGMCCGATATTCGTGCGACACTGTCGTACTTGGCACGCAGTGTACGTACTACGGACATTTGACGTACGAACACGAGTATCGTATTACTTGGTTCTGTAGTACGTAGGTAACAAGCCTTCCATTCGAATGTCCGAATTGAGAGAGGTGCACGAAAATCCGAGGTGCGCGGCAATAGATGGGGATGATTCTTCGGAACGAGCACCTCTATAGAGAGTCTCCGAAAAAATGTTGTTCAACGAGGCGGCAGTTAAACAATTTTCGCGCACCTTGTTTTTGTGTCGGGGCGCAACGGCAGAAAAAGGCATTTTTTTGTCACGGAGCTATGTCCCACGAGGAAATGAAGGTATTGATCTAATATATCTCGTTGTCTCATAACAATTTGAAAGTCACTACAGTACCCATTCGTTGGCGACGACTTTATTTCATAGATTAATACCTTTGAAAAACTAACGCTTTCAACCAATCGCCATGAAGAATATTATCGCCGCCCTTATCCTCAGTCTTCAGATTTCGGGATCGCCAGTCGCAGCCCGCGATATTGATCACGTTCGAGCTGATCAAGACATGCAGCAAAGGCAGCGTGTTCTCCGAGACAACAACGCTCCGCTCGACGAAGACGAAAAGGCTTTCTTGAAACGTTTGCTTGAAGAAAAAACATTGCGTTATGCCAAGGACGTGTCGGATGAMAGCACCAATGAACGTCGCAACCTAGCCAAGGATGACAGTGATCCTCTCGCAGCAGCTATGCGTAAGAGTGGTCTAAGGAAGATCAACGACGCCAGAAAACTTGCTGAAGAAGCTTCGGAAGAGCCCGAAGATAACAGGCGCCTACAATACGGTGGAAGTTACTACAATGGAGGCTATTATAATGGAGGCTTTAATGGAGGCTACAGCGACGGCTACGATTAYGGTTACAACGGTGGTGGTTACARCGGCCCCTATAAYGGTGMCTACTATAATGGCGSSTACTATAATGGCGGGTACGAAAACGGCGCGGKTGGTGAAGGCGCTGTGGGTGCTGGAAGCTTAGTATTAGGTRGTGGAGCTGCCTATCGTGGCAGAGTTGGTATTCCAGAAAAAGTTTCCATGGTGTTGGAAGCATTCCAAGACTCTAGACGCATTCAAGATCCTATTAGACTTGGCCCAGACTCTTCRTATTTGAATGCAGGAACTCAATACTTGTACAACAATGAGCCTCTGTACAACGTGGTCTTTGATGTACCCCCAGGTGGAAGCAGGGGTGCTTACTTGATCAATGAACAGGACAAAGTCGCTGTTGTGTCCGGKTCGTGCATAAGAAYTGATCCGAAACTWCAGTACATAGGACGAGCATACTGCCAATTCGATTATCGTTTCCTGGATGGGCGGGGCCAAGTTGAGGCTTCTCTTTCCGTGGAGGGTCCAATTAGCAAGGGAGACGTTCACACCTTGGCGATCACTGGAGGTAGTGGACCMTTCAAAAGAACAGTCGGTACTGTTGTCCTCGAGTCAGGACGTCTCCGTAACGGAGTCCCCCCTGTCTTTATTCCTGATGACCAGCTTGACTTGCCATCATCGTACATGGTGAAGATGTTTGTGTTCATGGATTCTGTTGATTTGGAAATGTCTTGATACTCTCAGATGTCTGGGAAAGAAGTCTATCTACTACGTAATCCTGCAAGAGTGAGATAAAAAGGAAATCTCTTGTGCAAAGTATCCTTCTAGTGCATTAAATGTCTAATAAAAGTATAATTATAATATTAAAGCGATYATGTACCAATGATTTACCAAGGCTGGTTGGAAAAAGTTCATGTCTGAAATCTGAACATTATTATAACTTCCTAAATATGCAACAACGGCACTTGAACAACATACCTGTAGACTGACTACATTGGCTTATCGAATTTGTTCATCGATCGGAGTGTAGTTAAGTGGACCAGTCTCGGCAAKTCATCAGAATGGCAAAAAATATAAAATTATTGTATTCTACTAACCCGTCAGCTGGATTTTGATTCAACCGTTGGGTTTGGCGCACCTACTTAAGCCGAAGAATTTCATCAAAAACCGGAGTTGTAGTTTTCCTATCGCGCACCTTGCGTTGAGGCAATTATAATTAATAATTACAAAAAATATAGTTCGGCTCTCYCTTTGCGCGCACTGCAGTTATAGAATGCGCCATGGATCTGCTCACAATATTTTTTAAGGGAAAATTTGCTCAACGGTTAACGTGACCGCAAAATACATGCGCACGTATGATTTCACGTCTCACTGATCGAATCGCAACAATCACAACTAGCAAGTCACACAAAAAAAATTACCAACAAGTGACAAGTAAATCTGCAAGCCGAAGTCATTGGAACCGACTCATCATACATTCAGAATAATCAAACGGACCATCATGAGAACCTCTTTTATGCTTGACGCTGCTGCGGCAGTTTTCATCGCTGTCCAGACTATGTCGATGGGCGTACACGCGAGAGTGGAGATGGCTGATGTCGACTCTGAAAATTATGTTGCGAAGGAGGTATCRCCTGACGTCGCGAGCGGAGGCATCCGAAAGTTACATGATCAGGGCGTTTTACGTTTCGAAAGTGAAAATGATAGCAAGAACCAAAATGATCGATCGCTGTGAGTAAAATCTGAAAACCCGCAAACATTAAACTTCATCACCACAATCTGATTTTTGTTTGAAGGAGACTCACATTTTTTCTTGCTATGCTGGTTGCTTTTTAGGCAAAGCTATGACGATGACACTGTCATCTCTGAAGAGATTGTCACCGTTGAGTACTACCAGGACAATCGATTCAGTAGTGCCGAACCGATTTATGCGAACATTATGAACCCACAACGTGGAGCTAGTGGCAACAAGTGGTTGTACGCTAACGTTCCATTGCAGCCTATCTTCGGAATCAACGACTTGCCTATTCAGGGACTTGCGCAAGGTTTCTGTGAAAATACGTTCCAAGACCAAACTGGATTCTGTCACTTYACCTACGAGTTCTTCGACCTTCAAGATGGTGCAATTACAGTTTWTGCGTCCATCACAGCTGAAGGTTCTACTGTGCCACAGGGAGTGTCCGAATTGAACGTTCTCGGCGGAACTGGCGAATTCAATGGGGCTGCAGGTACTGTTAAGCTTTGGCCAGTAGGTATCGATGAATCCATTATCCCCGCCCGTATTTTTAAGGATGGCTCCCTCTTCCTCGGCAACGTTGTTGGATACGAAATGAGGATGGATCTGTCCGTTCGATACCTTCTCAATGCACCACCAGAGATTCCTGTACCACAAACGGTAGCCATTCCTGCAGTTCCTGCACAAGCACAGGCCGCACCAGCCTCTGGAATCGACACCCGAGTAACATGCCCAGGACAGATCGAGAGTGAATATTGTGACTGTGATTTGGACTGCGAAACCACGTCTCCACGATGCCAATGCGCTGAAGCTCAAGCTTGCTGTGAAAGAAGATGAATGAGTTGTGTGGACCGTTTGAAGCGTTTTGAAGATCCGTCAGGAATCTGAATAATATTTGTTTTTGACTAGTATTAATGTATSGTTTGAGAATAGTAATAGTATTATCATAATATTATAAATAAATTACGAGATAATCACAAAGACAGAGTCATCAAGAAAACCAATAATTTTCAAAACATTTTTTCCATACACAGTACAAACTTACACTTTGGTTCTGCAGATTATCACCTAGATTTCCTACTGAATCTTACTACATTGTAAATACCTGATCTGAACCTTTCCGGTGGCATCCAAACCGCCATTGTGACATCCCCTTCTTGTTCTAAAGGGGGGAAATCCACCTCCCCAGCCTCCTCCATTAAAGATAACAACCAAATACTTTGTTGTTAAGCTCCCCACCTTTCTTACTACTACTGTCTATCCTGTCCTGGCCCCRGCTCTCTGCCCACACCAGCTGGATCCCTTAGTTCCTCTGGAAGTATCTTCAAGTGTTGAAGTTGTTGTTGTTTTCAAGTGTTGAATTTGTTGTTGTTTCCAACAATCATWCCTGAAAGCAACAACAACACCAACACAAGCCTAGGAGCATTCTTCTTCCTAGTAAGGAGAAGTAATGACTCTGGCTGTCTTACTAGTGCCTCTTCTACTAGTTCACAAGGTTAAATAAATATTAAGGATTTTTTTGTCACTAAAACTAGAAGAAACAACAACTGCTGCTATTCAAATCCCACCAGTCAACTTTCTTCTTGGGGTGAGACTGCTCTCTTGGGTTAGTTTCCTTTGGGTAGTAGTAGGACTTTTCTGCAATCCTTGAGGAAGACAATGAATTGCAAATGTAAGTGTGGCTATCTCCTGGGTTGTCTTATTATTTGRCACAAGTCCTACAAAAGAGAAGAAGACTGACATACAGAAAAAAGTATAAAACAAATAAAACTATGGTACTACTTTTCTACTTATTCATTCATTACCCAACAATTAAATAACAACAATATATATCATTCTAGTAAAAATTTCAAACCAAAATATAAACTATCACACAAACAATTGTATTTACCAATGTAAAAATACTATCATGATAGTGCTATCACCATGACAGGTGATGATGCTTTCTTCTATAATGACAAATATTTGTATGGTGGTACTAGTGATGCAAACCCATCTGATGACCAGCATTTGGGTCCAGACCCTCACACAAGAGGACAGTGGTGTTCTCAGTGGTGATGCTATTTGTTCCATTGAAAGTGTTTATAATGCCACCCACTACTAGTAGTGGTACTACTCTGATGTATACACTGGTGATGAGGACCATGACCTCTCTGATTCATCTGATCTGGAACAAGATGAGCTGCCCTATCTTTGCCATGACTCTTGATCTGCTTCTCTCTACCGTCTACAAACATGTCACAGATGAAGAACTTACTAGTATCAATGCACACAATTGTTCTTTGGAAGATTGGAAAGCCCAGGCTAGTAAAGCCATAGACTATGCTGACTTCTGAAGGTACAAGAAGGACATGAAGCAATCAAGTTTGACAATTGAGAGTAGTATCTTCTGGCCAGTAAAGGATCAGAAACATTTGAAACAATTGACAGCAATGCCAAAACAGCTTGGAAGTTGGGTGATGATGCAGAGGAATGGTCTCCTCCTGCCCTCCTCTGCCCAGTACCTTTGCACCTGGAGGAGGTGCAACCCCAGGTCCTTCCTATGCCTCAAAGAAWAAATGGGTGGTGGATGGCTGCTGGTGCACTGATAAGGAGAAAGGGTTGCCAAATTGTTGGTTGCCAAAGAATCCTTTAGCTGATACTAGTAAACATGTCCAAGAACTGGTATGCCTTTGAAGATTGGGTAATAGAAGCTCAAGCTATGGATACCTACTATGGGCAGGTAATAAAGAAGAGAAAGATGCTCAAGCTTTTCATGCAATGTTACCTCAAATATTTTTGTCTAGTACTGAGAATGGCAGAATCTATGATCCCTTTGTCAGGAAGAACACAATGAGAAAAAACGAGTTTCCTTTGTTGGCCAATATGTTCATTTACAGCAGAAGCCAAGCCAATCACACTGATATTCCCCTCTGCAAAATCAGGGCTGTGATGGGGGGAAATCTGGTTGTCTTTCTTGTCTTGGGTGACATGCAAATATTCATCTGTAAGAAAATAAGAAATAAGAAGATATCATTTGTCTTTATTTGTTCAAAGTGATGTTTAATATTTTGTACTATCCTTCTTGGCTGAGATGTCCCTTTTTGACTGCAATGCCCTTGTTGTTAGATAGTTTTGGAAACAAAAGAGCATGAACTGACCTTCTTTGTTGTCTGATCAACAGTACCACCATTTCTATTCTTCATATTGTATAGACATGACTCCCTAATCTACACACCAGTAATAGTACATTTGTGGCCTTATTTTGTGTGTAATGACTATTTCAACTAAAAAACTGGCTTGTTATACTGCTGTTTACAGTCAGGCATGTAATGAATTTCCATTCTCACCAGTCTTGTGACCACATAGTTTTGCGCCCACATGTCACTGCTGTACAGTTAGTACAAGTAATTTTTTTATCCCATGAGTCTTTACACACCACCAGTAAAAAGAGGGCAAAAAATCAGCATGCAGTAGGTAGAAAGTTAACTAATTGTAAACTCACTCTAACAGCATGAAAARCTGGTAAAAAGACAAATGTAGTCATATGGGGGGTTATAATGCATCATTGATTGCACATATACACCAGTTGTAAAGAGCTGTATAAACAGGATTGCTAATGTACAATTAAATCAACTTTTTAAAATTGCCACAGCTGTATGATAACTTACTAGTAGTCACAACTTTCATTGCAGTGTAAAAGTTGTCCATGAACAGTTGACCTCCTTTATCTTGTCGAAGGTTAGTAGATTGAATTTATCAACTTTGGAATAATATCCCAGGTGGACCCACTACTCGTAGTAGTAACACCAGCAGCAGCGTATATCTCAAAAGGCAAGAAGTAAGTACCCATTTTCTGCATTACACAGACAGTATACCTKGATACAATGCCTGATTGGCTTCTTAGGAAGATACTGGACAAATTAAATGGATCTTCGTCCTCCTTTGAAAGAATCATCAACAGACAGATGGTGAATATTTGCATGTCACCAAGAAAGACAAAGACAACCAGATATTTTCCCCACCAAAGCCCTGATTTTGCAGAGGGGGTCATCAGTATGATTGGAAAATTCTGCTCTAGGTGGCAACCTGCAATATGAATCAAAATATCTCAGCTCATTGCGCTTGCCATCATTAGAAAGAACTGCAGACAACTGGAGGATCMCACACTTCAAACCACCAGTCTCAACATCAAATGAAACCCAAAAGACTCTTCCTTGTTGGAGGCAATCATGAATGATACTTCCATTAGCAGCAGTAGTACTCCTAGACATGGCTGATCTATTCCTCTTGGGTGGACTTGGATTGGTGCTGCTGGTGTCTTGTAGTTGTTCAAAGAATTGCACAAGATTCCTGACACCTGGAGGAGATTACTAAATGCTATGTTATGTTGTTGTTGCAGTATTCTTCATTGTCATTGTTGYGTGCTCCTTCATCACTATCTAAAGACATGTGTGTACCAGCAGGAGGAATTTTAGTGGGACTCATGGKAATTGAGGAGTCCTGGGGGAGAAGATGTTCTAATTCATCCTATTTTATGATGCTGTTGTGAAGCAATATTTGGTGCAAGTTTGTCGTAAAAGTATCGGTTTTCATGAGAAGCTTGAATATCGCTGTGACTAGAAGTGTTACGGCAATGCAGGTTGCTGGACGCGTAAAGTGAGACAGTTGCGTCGTGGGAATAGAGAGGGAAAGCTTAGTACACGTGTTTGTGCGCGCGTGGGATTTATTTTTAACTTCCAGGTGGTAGTTAAGAAAAAATGAAAGTGGGTTTGTTGACGCCAAATAAGTTTTGGGAATCAAAAAGAAATAATTTTGATTCAAAAATTTGAATGTTCAAATTTATGAAACAACGTTATTTGGGCAACAACAATGGCAAATGTTTCAAAATTGTTGTTGTGCAACAACAATTTGTTGTCACAATTGCGCAGTGATAATTTCAAAGAAGGTGGTGGTGACAATACGTATGGGTTGATGATGTTGTTCAAAGGTGTGTGGACCAAGTGTTTGGTAGAGTTGTGTAGTGAGGAGAGAGCACACCTAAAAAAAGATCACCATGGTGGTGATAATTTTTATTGGAAGGGTGTCATAACCTGTGGGAGGAGTGACTAGTCTACTAGTATCCTAATAGTGATGTAAAATGTAAGCTAGAAGAAAAGTGAGTCGATGCTCTTAGTATTGAGGATCAACAAACTATGAAATCTAGAATCAATCAGTGTGAGGATCATTGAGTGATGTGTGAATCGAATAATTTGAGTCACTCACGCAAGTGAATGAAATGAGTCATGTTGATCATATGGATCAATGTACTAGTATTCGTGTGAGTCATATATGTATGGTGTGTACGAATTGTAGATACGTGTCATATGTATGTGTCGTGTATATGATGAGTCATACCAGGGTCTGATATCCTAYGGACAGCAGTAAGGAGGGGCATCAGAAAGACTTCCAAGAGTAGTATCACTACTAGAAACACTGTTGTCATCTATGGAGGAGGGGCTCCTACTGGGAGAGTGCAGGCTACAACTGCCATTGTCAAATACTAGCTAGACAATCACTCTTTATTGTAAACACGTAGTTATACGGCACTAAAGAGCACACGTACATTTTGCAGGTTATGAGCAACAACAGCGAGGCGGGAAAAAGTTGAACCTACAGTTTGGGACGGATGGCATGCTTTGTTGCATTCTTCGGGTCAATTAAGATTCAAAAAGTCTCATAATTTTTGCGAATAATGATGTCAATGGAGTGTTCGCGTYTCGTGCGCGTGCGCACATAAAGAACATTTGGAATCTATTCTCAGGCAGTCTTTGTGTTCCAGCTGCTGTCCCGATAAGTTTTTAGGTGATACTTTTGATCGCTTGAGCGATGAGCGACGACAACCAAGAGACCTTTACCTCCCAAATGTTTTCCGTACTTCGTACCGGTAGAAGATGACTGGATACAACGTTCGAGSGGCGTTATTTTGTCATTTCAAATCGTTCCGTACGGAAGGGTAATACGTACGAACATGCGTACCGTAAGTACCAGTCAACTTATCCCGCACGAAATACGATGAAACTGCCACTCGTGCTCACCAACCGTGCCTGCGACGTGTAYTTTCGCTTTTCGTTGAGCAGGCCCCAAGAAACTATCATCGAACATCAAKATGCACGATCACTTGAAAGAATAGTAAGAACCAACCTTCACGAGTTAATCAGTCACACAATAATTATTTTCACAGAGTGTGCCAGCTGCTCCCACATCTCTGCTATTCAATCAACAAAGCAAAACTTTTTGACATCCAAAGAAGAATTGAAAATCACTTCTTGTTCCGTGTCACAARAAATTCAGCTATTCGAATAGGTTACAGTATTGATAGTGATCRAGTCACTTGTGTTTTGCTACTCTCGGCGTGCCCATTGAAACTRCGGTGCAAATATCTAAACGACAGGAAAGAAAAAGGATGCCACACTATTTTGCTTCCAGCTGTCGATCACTCATCATCTCCTCCTCTCGCTGGGCAGCGACGGCCCAGCACCATGTGCAGCAACGGGTGTGTTTGCCCCCCAACCGCCTCGTGGCGAGGCGAGCTCTCTCGGCTGCCACCGCTACGTCGAGCCACCAATCGGCCTGGCGACGAACCGCTCTGGTGGGTGTGATGGKGGTCGTTGCGGTAACAATTGATTACAACAATCGAACCAGCACCGGCGTCTTGTCCCTTGGTGCCCTKTCTTGCGACCACTGCGAATGCGAAGCCGTGCGGAGGAGATCCAATGGAATTCCAACGTCCGGAGATGTCTTTTCGGTGGGAAAAATCACCCACGAGCCAGCGACGAAGATTTCGTTTCCTGCTCTCTGTAATGGCATGTCTCTGGGTGGTGTTGGCGTTCGAATCAAATACGTCTTTGTGAAGGTTTACGCCGTGGGAGCCTATTTTGATCCTATTGCCATGGCGGCCGTAAAGAARGGCACGCAAGCAGACATAGAAGGGGCTCTGGTAGATCCAACCTATCCTCGAACCATCCGCATCGTCATGAATCGCGGCTTGTCCGGTGAGTTTTTGTTCTTTTCGTCTGTCGACCTCCATGTTTTATTTTCCGATCCTTTCAAACTGACAGAMGCCTGTCCGTCCGCCCGCCGGCCCCTTTGGTTGATGTTTTCATGACTATTGTTTTTGTTGAATAMTGTGCGGTAGTGGACAAATTCATTGCTGCCTTGAACGAGGCAATCGAACCACGCCTTAACGGGAAGAACCTGGAGACATTGGACGAGTTCAAGGAACTTTTTCCAAAAATCGACTTGATCGAAGGAGACGAAATCGAGCTCACTATCCGAGGCGACACACTCCTCCTCAAAACCGGTCTCGGAGTGGGAACCATTCGTTCYCAGCCTTTTACGGAAGCAATGTGTGATGTTTATTTTGGAAAGGAATCTGTAAGCCCGACTCTCAAAGAGGACGTTCTCAAAGGGATCCCAGCGTTGTAACAATAATTTGATAAAGTGAATTTCAACAACTGAATACGATAAAGCCCGTGKTGAATTTCCAAAGGAAGGAACCTGTGTGTCTCCGTGATTCGAGTGTTMACAAGCGAAGAAACAACGTGGWGACAATGATTCATCGACGAACAACGAGTTTTCAAGCAATACAAAAACAATAGGTTGAATCGATCGATCGATCAATCAATCAACGAACGTTCGAAAGCAATAATACCGGTAGCATGTAGAATAGAAAGATACAACAACGATTTATTCAACTTTTCGACTARCATTTAGTTTCGAAAAGCACTACTCGTGCTTGCGTTCATGAAAAGCCGAGACCTCGTAGTCAGAATACAGTCTGTTGATCATTCAATTTTTWCCGTTCAAACCTGTACGATGATTTTCGATCGAATATTGTTTTTTWATTTATTATACTGTACTACTATTCACTGCATCACCGTCGCTTACGTCTAGTCAGACATCCTTSTCGCTTTTCTTCTCATTCGTGTTTTTCGGATTTCGTCGATCCGATTTCGACGTTGACGTTGACGACGACTGCGATGACGACAGGCATGGACCGTAGTCCTCTCGATACTCGAGGTTACCGTCTTGGTTTTCGCCAAGGATGTCGTCATCGAATTCAATGCGGGGAGCGTACCACAAAGTGATAGCAAGCATCCACGCCGAAACGTCCAGCAAGAACTCCTGGAGCGGAGTGAATTGGGCGGAGGAGGTCTCCAGTTGTTCCGCTCCATTGCTGTGATCCGTAAAGAACGTCCGTCGTCGGATGCTAGAAAGCTTCGTCGTGGTCGTTCCTTTCGCGGTACCCAGACAACCGTCCGATGATCGCATCATTGGTTGTGCAATCGAGTGAAAGCTCATCCGATGCAGAGGAGGGGCTCGGCCATCGAATGCCGAGCAGATTTTCCACACGTGAGCGGCCGAGGAGCGGGTGGTTCTCAACATAGCGGAAATTCGAAGGTTTTTGCTCAGATTCTTCTTCTAYGCTGTGTCTGAGTTTCTGCTGCTTCCCATCCCCACCAACAGCATATATTATTGATTTTGATAATATTGGATAAGTATGTCAATTCCGGAACTTCTAATATTTTTCATTTGCGGTTCCAAACAAAAGCAAGCAAGCAGTGGATCAGTCAGCASCGCAGAACCTCTGAAGTGTACAACTAGCGACGACCTTTCAAAAATTTTAGCAGAGCAGAGCAACGTCCTCTTGGAGCGTGTTGGCTTAGTGGTCCTCTTTGTTGAGTTGCRACAGCGAAGCAATTTTTTTYMRKTTKKTTYCMMCYTTTTTTAWGATGATTGTTCCGAAGAACGTCTCGAAGAGAAWAATTTTATTGATGGGTCTGAGAGGCTGATTGATTGACGTTCTTCAAGTCTGTCTGTTCAAATCAATTCGATTCAACTGGTCAAAAGCAGATGACTGATGATGAGCAATAAAAAAGAAAGAACCTCATTCGTTCTTTATTGCGCGCGTGATTACTTCGCTAGGGCTATTGGCTATCGTACTCTACCAACCACCCTACCATACGTAGTGAAAAAAGTACGAGCTTCTACGAGATACTTCTACGAAAGTACGGGTACTGGTACCGATTGTCGTAACAGTTTTTTGTTTTCGATTGAGATGAGATTCATTTATTCTAGTTTTGAGATAGATTGATCGGTCATTGATTCAACTGCTGATTACCGTTGAGASAGCMAGCGAGCGAGTTGGAAGARTCCTTTTTTATTCGTGTTTCATGAGTCGTTTCGATCAATCAAGGTGGAGGATTTTGTTCTTACCGTACCKTACGGTAGAATGGTACAAACTATTGTTTTTTATTTCAAGTGTTTTAGTTTAGTTGTCGCGAGGCTTTACGAGCAGGGTACGTACGATACTACTAAGAACTACTATTGCGTGTAGAAAAATTGTAGAAGGAATTTTTTGTGTTGAAGGCCTTGTAACAGTGGATAAATCTTTTACGAAATTCGTATCAGAAATACGAATCCACACCGGCAAAAGTATCGGTACGACAATAGAAAGACTTGAATCAATCAAATCTGTAGCAACTTCCTTTGACTCTCTTCATCATGAGCACCGAAGATGATKTTACCGTTCCYTCATCGGAAGAGGAAGAAGCCGGCCTAGCGGACATGAAAAAGGTGTTCGAGACGGAAATGACCGACGACCAAACCGGAAAAAAGAAGAGTTATTGGTCGTTTGCTATGGAAACCATGGGAATGGCTTCCGGAAAGGACGGAGATGAAGATTTATGGTTGGAAACYGTGGAGCAGGGTGTGCCTATTTTGAAGAAGTACATAAGAGAAAAAGATGCAAAGTTGGCCGAGGAACAGGAACAGGCCAAAAAGAAACTCCCATTTACCTCTTWCATGGATCTGGTCCCCCTCGAYGAATTTCACACCACCCAAACAAACTTTTTGAAGTCGTTTTTGAAGTGGTCCATCAAGGACAAAGAAGATATTGTCGAAGGAAGCGAGGGTGCAAATCTCGTCGTGAATGCCTCCAAGGCCCGGCGTCGATTGGACTCTTACTTCGAATGGATGAAAGACAACATGGCCGAAGATATGGCCGAAAAMCCCCTCACGTTTGAATCTGTGAAAGAGGTACATAAGGCTTGGGGCCTCGAGGCAACTCACTCCAAGGATGATCAACTCATYTGGTGGTTTGATCTCGGAACAATGSATACGAAGAGCATCAAGTCTCTTGCTCCTCAGGATCAAATGAGATATATTGTATGGTTTAGTCACCTGATGATGTTCGACCACAGAGGCCAGGACAATGGTTTGCTGCTAGTTGAAGCTCTCGATAATCTTGGATTCTGGAAAAGTRTKACTCTTSTTCCCATGGAATTGGGTGCTAAGATGGACCGATTCACGATTGGCGTCTTGCCCATTAAAATGAAAGGAATCTACATGTTTGGTTGCGCCCGTTGGGTACATCTCATGGTGGGGTTGATGAAGCCTTTTATGAGCAAGAAAATGCGGAGTCGTATGATCATTGTGACTGAGAAGATGGCTCCAGAACCGCAAAAGTATTGCGACGATAACTTCGGTCAAGGAAGCATTCCCGACGGCTTTATGTCTTTGAACGGAGGATCCAAGAAAGACGCATTGATCCACCGATTGAACAAGAAGGGAAAGCAAAAGGAGAAGAAAGCCGCGAYGAAAGCGAAGGAGGAGGAATAAGKAAAAGRGAGCAACGAGGAGCAATGTKCAGTTCTTAGTGTGGTGTTTGACGACGTTTTCATTTCGAACGAAAAATTGTGCCGTGGATGCTCCTTCGACAGAGTAGCAGCGTCACTAAGAACATCTCTCAATTGTAGGATCCCTTGACCATGACTGTTTTGTAGTTCGAAATAACGCGCTGTTGTGTCAAGCATTACTAATAGTTTTAGCAGACRAAAACATACTTAGGTATTCTTGCGRTCGATTATTCTGTCGTTGCAATCGCAGTGATTCTGCTTTGAATCAGATGGTCTGTTCGGARSACAAAGCGAACAACGGCGGAATCGCTTGCGATCGGAACTTTTCGTTTAACCACGCGGTACGATTGAGCGTGATCTGGTACCAAGAGTGTTATCTCGACGACTTCGCCCTCGCTTCCTCGAACAACAGCCGATGCACCGTCTTTCGTGCAGTCCAGTGACCGAAACCGTTTCGGTGACAGTGCAACGTACTTGTCCAGTTCTCCGAGGAAGACCACACCGCTCAGGGGGCATTCCTGCCACACCGTGGCAACGCTCGGAGACAGATCCGACCCGGGGGATCCGAACGAGGACTTTGGTGCCACAAAGATCGGTGGCATGTCGCCCCCCCGAGAGCCKTGCCCGTTCGTCGCTTCGGGGGRAACCATCGCGACGCAGCCGGTCTCCAGGGCGTCCGCRCCGTCCACGCAGTCCGGGCTCGAGGMAAACGAGCGATGCACCAGGCGGGCGGTCTGCCCCACCCCGAGCGGRGGCCAGAAGTCCCGGGCCGTCACGGGGAAGGCTTCGGCGAGCCGGAAGGAAACAAAGATCCACGACGGACCGAGTGCGTGCGTTCCGTACAGGTACCCCTTCGGTTTCGCGCCGTCTTCTCGGAAGCTAGAATCCACCGCGGTCACGGGYTTCGATGGCTGGAGCAACCCCCCGTCCGCCGATATGGTCCGGYGCAGCAGCGTGGCATTGGTCATGCCGATCGCGTCCGAGATCCCGACGGGCCTTGGTTCCGCAACGGTTCGAAGAACAAAGACGCAACGAGGGGTGAGTCGGGGGGAGAAACGACGGGCACACGCCAGGTATTCTTCACCCGCTGCCCGGGCCGCATACGCATACGCATACGTACCCCGTGCTCAAGAGCGCAAGCACGACGTGGAGTTCCGCCGCGGGGGCCTCGTGGTCYTCGGTCCAAGCGCAGCCCGGGGTTTCCGTCCGTTGGTTCTCGGTCGTCCACAGCGTGTCCTTGCTCGGAGCCGCCCCGGCGGCCCAGACCAGCAGGGAGGACTCCCCGATGGCGTAGCTGTTCCCGTAGCAGAAATCGAAGGAGACCCGGAAATTGGTGACGGAGGGAAACGAGAGGGAGGCCAGGACGACGCCCGGGGACGCGTAGCACCACTGGATCGGCGTGCCCAGCTCCAGTGCGGCGCCGGCCATGCCCGCGAGAAAGGCGTCGGAGCCGTGGACGGGGTCCTCCACGAACTCGCGGACGCAGTTGGCGTTYTGGTGCATAAAGTCGGACTCGAAGCTTCCCATCCCGGCGCGGTCGATCCCCTTGGCCAKGAACCAGGCGAAGAATGCCYCCGCGTCTTCCGCCGAAGCCGTTTCGAAGGCAAAGCCCTCGCAGCCCGGGAGGCCCGGGTCCGAAGCCACCGATTTCCACGGCGTGTGGGGAGAAAAGTACTCGCTCGCGTTGGGGCAAAAGTAGGGAGCGTAGAGCTGGAGGGGCACCCCCAGCGCCTCCCGGAAGGCCCCGGTGTCGAGGGGGTAGTGGTTCGTGTCCTGGCCGCCGTCGGCGCTCCACCGCTCGATGCACCACGGAGCGGCGGTTCCCCTTCCGCTGGAGGTCCCGGCTCCCTGGAAGGAGAGGTACCCGATGGGGATCCCTATCGAGTCCAGGTATTCTTTTTCCCGCAGCAGCACCTCCGAGCAGTTGGATTGCCGGCAGAAGCAGTACATGGCCCCGTTGTCCGTTTGGTAGCCAATCTTCTCCAGGGTCACGTCCCAGAGTTTCTCATGAGCGCTCCCGCCTCGGATGGCACCGCGGGCAGTCTCGTTCCCCGGTTTGGAAAGCTCCGAGTCCCCGGTTGCCAATGGGAACGGCAGCGACGSCGGCAGCGGCGAAGCCTTCCAAGAGGCCGCCGCTCGCATCGCGGCCCCCCACTCGTCGATGGTGGCCGTGATGCCCCCGGTGCTGCCCTCGTAGAGGATCATTGCGTGKGCCGTTCCCGGGGGAATCCACCCCAGCCTGCCGCTCGGCCCGGGGGAGAAGGCGGGCCGGCTTCCCGTCCAGTCCCTGTGGTTTCCGGCCGTGAACTTGCCGAAGGAGGGCCTCCGGAKTCGTCCGCTCGCAAAGGGGACAAAGGGGCTCGCCACGACCACCGTGGCCAGGGAGGGATCGGAGGCGTCGTAAAAGACCGTGGGGCCTCCCCCCGGTCCGGCCGAGAGCCTCCGGACGCTCTGCACGAAGGAGCCCTCCCACGAGAGGACCGACGGGAGCGAGGGGGAGAGGGGACAGGGACCCTCCCGCTCCAGCAGGTCCGGTGGCAGATGTGCCGCGTGCCGCGTGGCGTTCGTGGCGTTCATGGCGTTCGCATTCGGAAGCACCACAAAGGACGGAAAGGTKGCGAGGGATGCCCCTTCCCCGGCGTCTCCCAGGGAGGTCTTGTCGAGCCCGTCGGGAAAGTCGATCTCGAAGACCACGGCCCGTCCCGAGTCCAGGGCCACAAAGGAGGTGGCGATCCTTCGCTGCTCTCGGCTTCCGCGGCGGTGGYCCCCTCCGAGCTCGCAGACCCACTCGATYCGCGTGCCCCCGTAGGCTCCCAGGCCGGGCAGGGTGCCCCCCAGGGCTTCCTGTTTGGCCAGGACGAGCCCCGTGGACCGGGGGGATCCCTTGCTCCCCGGCGGCGRCGMCGRCGACGACGRCGAAGGGGCGACGCACCACCCGCCCCCGGAAAAGACGGCGAGGTCCCCCCCCTCGAAGAGCCGGGTCGGCGGCGACGCTCTCGGTCCCCCCGTGTGGAAAACGCGGTAGGCCAGCTCCGCACCGCCGCCTTCCGCGCCGGGGTTCGCCTCCACCGAGACGCCCAGGGAGGCCCTTGTCGGAGGCAAGAGGCACGCCACGAGCAAGACGGCGGCCATCCGGGCAAGCCGCGGGGGCGGTGCCCCYGCCGTGGCGACGGCCGACCGGGAGGCGGAGAACATGGCTGGCTTGCTGGCTGGCTTGCTGGTTGTTCTTGTTCTTGTTCTTTCCCCTGCGGGGTTCGTTTCCGCGAGAAAAAAGGTCACCGGGCCGGGGCTACCGTTCGCGGGGATCGGGTCGAGAGTGTCGGTTTCGACGGTGGCGATGGGTTCGTAGCAGGATTGGTGGGATGCCCTTTGATTGGTATCTTTTGTGCATCGTGTTCCAAACAAGAGGAAAATCGAAAATCTTGGGGTTGTGTGTGAGTGAGGATGAATCACGAGTTTTGGTTTTTGTTCTTTCCGTTCTGTTCCACCGTGTCGTGCCATGCGATGCSCCTGTGCCATCCGATGGTGATGGCTGCCGCATCATATTCATAATATGTACAGTAAATAGATATGAATACGAATTTCGTTCTTCGTCGTGGTTTCACTGTTCGCGTACCGTAGCGAGTKGTTGAAGCTAAGCAAGCTACGAGTACGTACGAACCGCTATTCGTACTCGTACTCGTTGAAGCACCGACGGATTGTGTACGAGTACTCGTACCAGTATAATTCTTCAATCATTATATTAGCGCCCACGAGTCGTTGATGTCTTGGGGACAGTCATTTCGGTTTTTGTGGAAGACCGTGGGAAGGTCCAACTTATGGTACTGGAGCTACGTGCGAGTTACGTACGTTGGTATTTGGCCAACGACCGACGGTCGTTTCGATCGAACAATCGAAAGAAGATTTCAGRTTTCACGATTCCCATCGCGCCGTTCCTTGTTTTGYTGCGTGATGCGTACGTAYGGCACTCGTACGATTACGGGACCAGATGCAGAATAGCCACTATCGTCCTCGTCGTTCCCGTTCCTTGTTCGGATGTTGGTGTGATCTCTCGCGGCGTCGTCCCACAAWACAATTCGTTCTAMCGTACCACAGTTTTGCTTTYRAGACACAMCCCGCTTCTCACAACACCATWACTCTACTGTATCACAAGCAAACAAACCCAGCACACTCGGATTGACTGTTATTGACAACCACAGCACTACCACAAGGCAGCGAGACGACCGATTCATCGATTGGTTCACAAAGCAGAAGCAGAAGCAGAAGCAACAACAGCAACAGAAGCAACAGAAGCAACAAGAGAAGCAACAGAACCAAGAACGAAGCATGACCTCTCGGACGACAAGCCAAGGCCCGCCGCTCCCCCTCTCGGGAAAGATCGCGGTGGTRACGGGGAGCACCCAGGGCCTGGGGGAGGCCACGGCCCGGCTCTTTGCGGCCCGTGGGTGCTCCGGCCTCGTCCTCACGGGCCGGAACCGYATCCGCGGGGAGGCCCTGGCGGAGGAGCTGTCCTCGAAGGACTGCCGGGCCCTCTTCGTGGAGGCCGACCTGGCAAGCGTSGGGGACTGCCGGAGGCTGATGAGGGCGGCGGACGACGCCTTTGGCAGGCTGGACGTCCTGGTCAACGCCGCCGGCACCACCGACCGGGGCTCCCTGTGGGACACCACCCCCGAGGACTACGACCGGATCATGGCCGTCAACGCCAGGGCGCCCTTCTTTCTGATGCAGGACGCCGCGCGGATCATGGARCGGGAGAGCACCGAGGGCTCCATCGTCAACGTGTCCTCGACGGCCTCCTACGGCTCGATGCCCATGCTGGCGGCCTACGGGATGTCCAAGGCGGCCCTCAACGCTTCCACCAAGAACGCCGCCTACTCCCTCGCCTGGTCCCGMATCCGGGTCAAYGCCCTGGCCATTGGGTGGATGGACACGCCCGGGGAGGAGGCCGCCCAGAAGGGGATGTGCATGCCCAATGGCCACAAGGGCGGGGGCCAAGGATGGAGGGAGACRGCGGGAAGGGGCCTGCCCTTTGGCCGYCTCCTCCGGCCGGAGGAGGTGGCCCGCTGCATCGCCTTTTGCGCCTCGGACGAGTCGGGAATGATGACGGGCTGCGTCATCGACTTTGACCAGTCCGTCTGGGGGGCCGGGAATCCCCCGGTTCCCCCCCGCAAGGAGGAGTGGGACCGGGCCAGCGGCATGACCTTTTCCTTCGAGGGGAGGGACCGCTTCGTCCCGGTSCCGGCCGCGGAGCAAAAGGCAGTAAAGAAGGCGGCAGAAAAGGCAGCAGTGGCAGTGGCAGCAGCAGCAGCAGAAAAAGCACCACAAGCACCACCGACACCGGCACAAGCACCAGCTCCAGCTCCGGCCAGCAAGCCCGCCGGAAGAAGGGCGGGGAGCAAGTCGCCGGGCCGTTTGCGATGGCCCCCGCCGCCTCCCGTAGCAAAAGACGTCGAGCCCGAGTCCTACCGGCGGGCCTCCGAGGTTTTTGCTGCCGCGGCCACTCCCGCAACCCAGGACAACAGCAACAGCAACAGCAAGAGCGAGAAKTACGGCTACGACRACAACGGCGTCGAYACCTCTTCCCAAGCATCGAYCAAAGAGCCAACAGCGGCTTCCGAAACGGCGAGCGACGCATCCACKGGGGCCTCRCCCACGCCCACGCCACCACCGCCCGAGGAGGACGCCGAGGACGCCGCGAAGRACGACGCCAGGGACGCCGCGAAGGAMGCCTACTTTTCGATGCGCACGCAGCGGATGGGGGACGTCTMCCGGCCCGACGAGTACCTCCCCGGCACCGAGCCCAGTGGCTATTTCGTCCCCACCTCCCCGGCCTCGAGGCGCAAGAAGAAGGCCGGCAGGAAGTGGGGGGGAAACCCGGACTGCCACGGGAAGTCGAGGGTGGACGAGTGGCTGGGCTCCGGGGTGGCCCCCAAGCTCACCTACAGGGTCAAGCCGGCCTCGCGGTAGGACAAGGTGGTCTAGTGCACCGGCACGAGTGCGACACAAACCAGCGCAGAAGATTCYACCACACTTCTGCCATGTACAGTACAAGTARAMAGTAAACTACTACCGTAGTAGTATAGGCCAGACAATGCCAAAAGAGGAGATTGTTTCGTTTTGCTGTCTTCGATTTTATTCGTTATGATAAATTTCACAATCTCTTCCTGTGTGCCAACCGGTGGGTGAAATGGCTAGGCAGACAAGTAGAGCACTGCACCACTAGTAACACTATGGGTGGTAGGGCCTCGATGGCAAAAGCAGGGCACTGGTACACCTCCGATGCAATTCGTCTCCTGCCGGTGCAGCCCCGGAGGCCCGCGGCCTCCCCTGGGAGGGCGCCCCGCTTGGGATTATGCTGCTGCTGCTGCTGCTGCTCGTTCCGCCAATGCCAATGCTCGTGCTTCTTCTTTGGCTGCTGCTGCTGCTGCGCAGGAGTGCCCCTCGCCGTGGAGCCGGACCGCAAGGCGAGTCTTAGGGGGCACCCAAGACGGGAACGAAGCGAAGGCCCGGAGCCGTGCGCACCGCAGTGGTGGGTCCCCACGAGCGGTCCGCCGGCTAGCGGCTGTCGTAGCTGCGGCTGTCGTAGCTGCGGCCGTCGTGGCTTCGGCTGTCGTGGCTTCGGCTGTCGTAGCTGCGGCCGTCGTGGCTGCGGCTGTCGTAGCTCCGGCTGTCTTTGCTCCGGCTGTCGTCTTCGCCGCTTTCCTTCTGGCTCTCCTCGTCCTCGTCCTCGTCCTCCTCCTCCTCGCCGTCCCCGGAGCATTCCGAGCCGCTTTCGGTCCCGCGCCGCGCCGGGGACAGCGGCTTTTTTGGTTTGGCCTTTTTCGGTTTGGCGCGGCGGCAGCAGCCGCACAGGGTCACAAGGTTGAGGATCGTGACGGCCACCACCAGGAGGGCCAGCACCCCCACCGCCCCCAGGACTCCCAGCGCCCACGGACTGGGCAGGTTCGAGGGAGGGGGTTCGTCGAAGGCCCGGGGCCGCTCCATGCTGGTTTCGGGGGATCGTGGTGCCGGTGGTTGGTGGCTGCTGCTAAGGGTTCCGCTTCGGTTCTGCCGGAAAAGGAGAAGAAACTTTGGTTGGGAACCACCGAATTCCGGTCGTGGTACGTGCACGGGCACGGCTGCTGCTACGATTCGGTGTTGCCGTGATCCAAGCTTGTGAGGAAACCTTGCAACAGCAGCGACGGCGGCAGCGGGCAGCAGCGGCACCCGCAATCCCGAGAGGCCGTCCGTCAAGCTTTGGACCGATAATTGACAATCGCGCAGTGGTACCGAGTTACCAAATCCACGTCCTTATTACTATGCCTCCCCGACCTTGTCCCATTCGGCGATGCCGGAATGAGTAACTTAAAAACCTAACAGAGGATACGATGGTATGACGTTWGAAGATATAGATACACCCGCGGTACCAAGGGGTACATCGGTCCGAGCGAGTCTCGTGATCTCTTAACGACTGGAAACAGCGGGTGATCCCGAAAACCCGAGCTCGATTTAATTCTYGTCGAAGAAACTCACGTGCGTTTTTTCCCGAYACAAGGGTAAGATTAAGTACAGAAAATCGAAAGGGATAATCTTATTTTTCTTATCCATAAGTTCTTGAAATCATTTGTTTTTCCGAGCTGCGCCTCCGGGGCCTTCGTACGTCATCACTACTGYCCGGTTTCTTCTTAAGCTTGTTTCGTGAACGGTATTATATTGKCAACACCGTCCATCCTTCAACCTGGAAAAGTATATTTTCAACCTTTATTTTTKACGGAGAGACATCCATCTRTTTTTGAACCGGAATGAATGCTAATAATTAGCATATACAGATAGAGGTTGACGGAAGGATTGTCTCTAATTTGTTACGATCGCTACGGTAGTTGTTCTATTTCGCGCAGTTCTCGCCAATCAGGGTCATTGGASGTTGAGCAATGCYAGCGATTTTGGGCGGCATGGCGTTGTCCCTCGAATWCAGGTCCGTACCGGTRCGTAYCGGTAGCTACGGTAAGGTCCATTAAGTACGACTACTACGCACCGTAACGYGTCGTTTTCCCTTCCAGTCATGACCCGATTCCGGAACATCCATCGGCGMTTCGTACGGTACGGTACTTSTTGTATTGTACTGTACGGTAGCACTATCGTCGTTTTCGCTCTCTTGTGACAAAAGAACAACAACAACGACACAAATTCGTTCGGACAACGCCTTCCAAGCGACCCCGGTCACAACTCTCTCGTACCAACGGYCGASCCCGCAAGAACCATCGAACCCGTCTTCCCTCCCACAGCATGAAGTCGTTCACCTCATTCTCCAGAAAATTTTCGCTGGCGCTCTTCCTTCTCGCCGCGGCGCCATCGACGGCCGCAGGGGCCAAGGCCGGCTCCACGCCGTCCCGGCGTTTGCAAGACGCTCAGAAGCTCGGGGAGGCCATCCTAGCGGAGCAAAAAGCGGCGGAGACGAAGGCACAAATGGAAAAGGAGGACGTTTTSTCTCCCTCGACCCTGGAACAGATCCACGTGATCACCCGCCACGGGTCCCGCTCGATGCTGTCGAAGGACGCCGACAGCCTGGCCGAAAAGGGCGGGGCGASCCTCACGCCGCTGGGACAGCAGCAGCTCTACGACATGGGTGAGTGGCTAMAAAAGACCTACGGAAACTACCTKGGAGGCGACGGCGACAGCCTGATGCACTACAACCCGGCCCTGCACCGRCTGGAATCGACGAACCTCGAGCGCACGCTGTCGTCCGCCAACTCGCTGGCCCTGGGCCTCTTTCCCTCGGAATTCCGCTCGACGGGGATGCACCTCGACAACCCAGACGTCACGGAAGACCTCTATRMAAGCCACCTGGAACAGCCGCCGGCGATCCCGGTCTACACGGGTGGAAAGGACCAGAACGACGTGACCCTGCGGGCGTACCGAAACTGTCCCACCTTTACCGATCGGTTGCAAAAGCTGTACGCGAGTTCCAAGTGGAAGGACCTCGAGAAGTCGCACTCGGGCCTGCTCAAAAAACTCGGCAAAATGTTCCCCGACGAAGCGGTCGGTGGAAAAATACCACTGGAAAACCTCTGGAACGTCTACGATCCGATGGTCGTCGCGAAGACCGAATGCGAGTCCAGAGGCGACGACTACGAGTACCAATCGTGCTCGGCCTTTGTCACGGACGAGTACCTGGCGACCRAGAAGCTTGATCTCTCCGARWTATACAAGATCCAGGTGCTCTTCGAAGAGGCAGAGTTCCTAAAGTACGGTCAGGGGATCGACAGCGAGGGAACCGTCACCGCGGGAAATTTGTTGGGAAGCAACCTGTTGTGGAAGATACTGAACCGGTCGAAGGGGGACGGTGACTTCTTTTTGTATTCCGCCCACACCGCAACCCTCATCGGGTTTCTTTCGACGCTGCAAGCCTCCGAGGATTTCTACAAGGCCACGGRAGGAGACGATTCCATCGCATACGGCAGTGCCCTGATCGTCGAAATCCACAAGTCGTCGGAGAAGGGAAACTATTTCTTCGTCCTCAAGTACAAGGCACCCCATATTGAAAACGCCATCCACGTCGTTCTGAAGGAGTCCGAGACGGGAATCAAATGTGGCCAGGACAAAGATGAAGAATCTGTCAACATCCCCAAACTCTCTTGGTGTACGCTCGACGAGGTTATCGTCTGGGCAAGCGAGAACACGCTGACATCGGAGGAAGCGTGGTGTGACGCCTGCAACAACAAACTGGCGGATGTTTGCCTCACGGGGTTGGGTTCGTGGGACAAGTTTGGCAGCAGCASCACCACCACTATCAACACCATTAGCAGTGACGACGACGACACCGGGATCAGCAGGAGCAGCAACACCAACACCGACAACACCCCCGCCTTTCAATCCGAACACGAGCAGATCGACGCCTGGTTGTTGTCGGAGGAATACATGGGATTCGACACATCGAACACCACGATGATATGCCTCTTGTTTTTCGGCGGATTCCTGGCGGGCGTGTTGCTGATGGGATTGGTTTGGTTCGCTACCTGCTGTTGCAACAAGACTAAGAGCGATGCCAAGACCGTCGACGAATCTCCCGACTATCCCGCTATCGGGGTGGTCGACAACGAAGAGCCGGACGAGAGCAATGCCGAGAGCGACGACATTCCCGTCGAACCATTGGATGACAAGGAAATTTGTTAGATACCCGCGATGCAAGTATATAATGTATAATTACGAACCAATCAAAAACACAATGAATTCATTAATAATATTCCAAAAGAACCTTTCGTACTTGAACACTCATGCCACTAAAATTATGTTGATGMTGCGATTGAAAATGCCAAWATTCAACGTCGATCTGTTACTACGCRTTGAAAGTGGWAAATTACGRATSCCTTGTCCGTCATCGATGTTTTGGTGTTCTGCATTTTTTAGGGTTTCGAAAGTGAATTCATTTTCGTCGTTATTWCAGAATCGTGATGGACATTCAGTCCAACCGGGCAATACTTGCGCCGGAACGAAATTCTCCTGGTAATCAACACCATTCTCGGCCCCGTTGATCGTGGTTGCAACGTTGATCGTGGTTGCAACGAAATAAAATTCCGCTCTGTCGACAGAAATGTAACTAGAGTCGACGGTTTTTCGTATGCTGTCATTCCGAAATTGGTTCCAAAGAAGTCGTACCTCATGGCTTGTCCAAGCAACTCAATTCATACGTCTCCCCTGTAGGTCACTCCACGAGCTCGCTTGATTGCAACATGGACGCCTTGTATCCTTCAGTCAATGTTGGGGAGGAAAATCAACGGGGTTTTCTTGCCTTCTTGGCTGTTGCCATCTCCGACCATACTATCCAGATCGTCAACTGCCATGGTAGCTGCTTCGGCGGAGGAGCAGCCGCATCGATGAATAACTATTTGCAGGTCTTTTTCTAGTATTTCRATTTCCTTCGCGTGGTCGTGGTGTTTGCGGTAATGCGCTAAAAACACGGCAATCCAGAGCCCWAAGACGGCACACACGAGCGCGGTTGCGAAAAAGKAAAGAGTGGACAGGGGTTTCCCCTTTCGCAGGTGCGGTTTGCCGACAGCTGTCCCGCAGGGAATGTCGAAATATTCGTGATTATATTCGCGAGCGTCTTGGCCATCTCCATGAAATTGGTCATAAGAAAGCTCGGATTGGCCACATCGATTCCTCAGCACAGAGGTCAGCGCGTTTCCATTCAGACTGACATGGTCCGCCACCAACAGGTTTATGGAATCAAATTCATCGTCGTAGATCCAGTCGACCACTCTAGCATTCAGATGGGATTTGGTGTTGTCGTCAATGATCGACGAAACGTGGCGAACACCCAACGCCGCCGAGATCCCGTCGACCTGCCAGAGGGCTTGGATTTCGTTGAATGGATAATAGTACGTCGATTCCGGCGGTCCGAGTTCGTTGCTGTTATCGGTGGGTTTGTTGTTGGCACTTGCGAGGGCGTATTCCTTCAATTTTTTGTGTTGAACCGACTTCCGATCGGTACAGGGAAGGACATCGCCGTCGCTCGAATAGCATGTCACGAGCGAGTCTTCCACCCAGTTTTGTTTTGCACACGATCCCGCATATTGGTCATGTCGATCCATAGCCAGCAGATATCCACCTCTCCAACTTTCTCCCTCATCTTGGTTGTAATAAGCATTGCCGCTATTGTCGTTCGCATCATCATTGTCATCGTCGTCMGTGGTCAAAGAAGACAAGGCTGCCAATCGCTTTGTTTCGCCCACGGTTAATCCGTATAGATCCGAACATTCAACGTAGTTGACACCCAAGTTGGCGTACACTTGGGAGAGTGCTTCTACGGTTGTATCGGCACTGGGTACAAAATCATCATCACTATCTTCACTGCCACCATTGTCGACGTCATCATCGTCGTTGTTGGACGAAGACGACGCATATGCGAAGTTGCTGTGTAGGATCAATACTAGCTCGCTGGGATTGTCCAAAGCCCACTGACGGGCGTCTTCCACCAGTCGCTCGAGCGTCACGGCGATTGGAACGGCCCCGTGGTGTAATACCACCGTTCCGTTCGCCAGGAGCTTTGGTCTCACGTCAAGCGCCCGGGCGCCGTCGTCGAGCTGCTGGTARACGTCTCCGATCTGGGTTTTTGTATAGAGGTTAGTCGCCCCATTTGTGACAAGGCCRGACGTTTTTTTAAGGTATCCAGTGGCAGCATCGTGGCTCATCAAAAAGCTTGCGTCGGAAAGAGCAAGGTCGTCGGCTATATCTGGCAGGTAGCAGTCGGCGAACTGAAACTGTTTTCCGACATCGAACGTGCAGGAGTTGTGGCGAAACGCCTCGGCGCAGAGGTGCCCAAACGATGCACAAAAAGCTATAAAAATTGCTGGMAGAGCCATGAACGCAAAGGACCTACGGCGCCGAAGATCATTTCGAGCACCGTGACGGTGGCGATGCCATTCACTCCTGCAGGCGCTTTGTCTGAAATCGCTACCATTGTTCTTCCGTCTCATCGCGTTAGGTGTTACGTATGTTTTCATTGATGTATGCTTTCTTTGTGTTACCATAAGGTAYAGTGTCATTGTGGCATCAGCCCAACCTGTGGAGCCAGTTGGTGCATTCGTTCATTTCAACCAATCGACGATATATCGACTCCGTTGTTGAAAGGATGCGCTTCATCGATTTTTGTGTGTCGGAATGCGAAGCCATGGCATTTGCATGTGCCGTAGAATTACAGCTACGAAGTGTACTGATAAAAGCTTGTCGAAAATCTTCCGTCGACAGKGAATTGAAAATACGAAATGGCACGTGCGCAAAACTACCCAACTTGSCACACATATTCCAACGGCAAAAAATCAAATGAAAATGGTCAATGTTAGTCCCGAGTGCGTATTTCACTCATGAATGTTTTGCGAGGAAGGATTTCGCTAAGACTGCAGGTCATTTTWAAAACAAGGCTTAATTGAATATCTGKTGATAATGATGTCCAAAATGCCTCTGTTTTCTTTCTTCGGGTTGCCGACGTTCTGTTTTGTTAGTGATCTAGCTTCACATTGAGACTGATGGGCTGCGCTCTGAGCTTCTACAGTGGCACTCATACGGACGTTGAGCACGTTGCAGGTATTTTGAAAGAATATTTCATAATTCAAAAACATTTTGGCATCTCACATCAACGTCCTAACTCTCTTAAAAATAAGCATGGCCAAATCTTCTGTAGAGATAATACCAGTACGAACTAATTCTCCTAATTGATTCCTTCCTGCCACCGTTACGAGTTCCCGTAAAAAACGTAATGATAATTTAGATTTACAGACGCTTCTCTTTACGGTTAATAATMATAGTGTTTTTCTTCCGTCAAAACCAAGGGAGCGACCTCRACACGGTATTTTTTGTGAWATGGCAGGATAGGCAATACCCAATTGTACCGTAGTAAGGCCCGAAAAAGTAGCAAAGAACTAGGATATTGCTGCGGCATCAAACCTGTGTGTCCTTAAAGACCAAGGAACRCAAAGTACCGCGTAAGGAAACGATCGCAATTAATAATTCGATAAAGAACATGTTCAGTCAACCCTTTGTCTACCTYTCCCCTGGAMATCAGCAACAGCATCGTCTCGCGGGTGGAAAGGAAGAGATTGYGCTTACAWCTAGTCTTGGCGATGCTAACGCGTTRTCATCAAAGCCTCCTKCTTCGACAATTTCATCGAAAGTGATGGTGGGAGGGGAAGTTTCGAACAATACGTGGGGAAAAAGTGAGTGGTTCCTCGGTARGCAAATCCAAACKTATCATTTGCAGCAGCAGCAGCAGCACGTAAGCATATTGAATGCAATATCGGCAAGCGCAAGTCGTGCAATAACCGATCATGGTAGTTTCGGATCAAGTCYYAAATTATCGGCCGAACCACAGAACAATTATACCTACCACCACGGAACGGATCTGAACTGGAATGCCTTCAACTGCGAATCAGGTACAGATAAGTCAAAACCGAAGCACCATACTACTAGCAAACACCGCGTTAGAAGCGATAGCGATACWGCTACTGCGACAACCCTAACAACTCCGTCTTGTAGCTTGTTTTCGGAATGTTCCTTCTCCGAAGACGAACACGACGCAGGAGGAGARACCATGGAATTCCTCTTGGGAGATATCGAGGAGAGTGCGTTCCCCCGGGTGAACGAAATCGACGAAGATGGCGGTGATCACAGTAATGACTGTGCTAACGATATCATCAACGTTGGTGATCGTGACGAACACGATACTGGAGATATCGACAACAGCGACGAGTGGTCGCACACTACACCACTTCGACGGAATGCATCATCCTTTGTGGTTCAGGAGGCMTCAGAAGCATTGAACAAGTCCACAGAGACCACCACAACTACAAAAACRAAAACAGAAACTACCACAACCACGACCACTACTCTTACACATACCACCACTGCTAGCACAACACACAAAAACAAAAACATTTTTGTGTATCCTAGATTTGTTCCTGGAAACAACCRAGCAACGCCCCCTGCAAATKCAACTGGAATTGCACCTAAACACAATGATCAAAGGAAAGAATCAACACAAGCTAACAGTCCATGCGGTGCTGGTGGATTTCTAAAGCAGACAGGCATCAACAAGAACGCCAATGACTCCATGGTTCCGTTTAGTGATTCCCAAGAAAACCSTTCAATTACAACTGCACCGAGCAGTGCCTTGGCGTATCCTCACCAACAGGACTTGCAACATTCAATATGTTGCCCGTGCTGTGCTTCCAAGCAACAACAGATCGAAAGGCAAGACATCGAGTTGAAACAGATGAACATGTTGGTAAAACAACTTAGTAGATTGCTGGCCGATGTCKTTCGTTCCCAAAATCAACACAGCGATTTGCACAATAGCAAGAATCGACTTACCCGACAGCAAGAGACAATTTCCAACCATCCCCATTCCACCGAAACAAATCTTTCGTCGTATTTRAGTCCCAAGCGACGCAATCCAAACGAACAAGACTCCGTCACCACCACAACCAGTCCCTCGTCGTCGTCATCTTCGTCGTCGCTTTCTTCTATATCATCAGCTCCGCAGAGAAAGATTTCTTCCCTCCCTATCACCTGTGTTGGTTCACAGTGTCCTCGTAGCAAAAACCATCGCATCGAGGTGAACGGAGAATCGGGAACCTACCGTGGACCGTCTATTTCTAGGGACGAGAATGGCCGAAACCACTATCAGAGGGCAGGTATTTTACAGGGGTGCGTTGTTCGATTTGACAACGGAGATTTGTATGTTGGCAGCCTGAGCCGCAACGACACTGGAAGTCTCACCTTCTACCCACCAGGAACCCTGTACGACGCCACCAGAWCCCCCAAGCGAAGGCTACGATGATCATCCATGGYGCCATGTCTGTATTACTTGTATACTTTATACTAAATTTGTGTAAATTAAAAATACAAATCAACTCAATTCGACGATATCATACATCAAATCATACCATATCACATCACATCGGTGTCAAATAAGACTCGAACAAGAAGACTGTCTTTGTGAAAGAATGTAGTGCGCAAGAGCTAAATTTGGTTGGTAACACTTGCGACGAGGCCAGCTTATTGCGCCATARTAAAAGATAGTAGAAAGGGTATATTGAAGCGCATCAACTACTTATGCTTAAGCTAGAAGGCAACAAGAGTRCCTTGCATTGTGATCTATCGTGWCCTGCAATACACAATCGATAGAAAAAATTAATGACGAGGGTCTTTATGCCGCAGCCTTGCTAAGATTGTCATTGGCAAGGGCGCATTCCATTCGGATRACCTTCAGGGCCTTTTCTACGGCCACCCGATCCCTCGCGTGGCTATTCCAATCTTTTGCCGTGTAAGCCACTTGGCCGCTCAGCTTCTTCGTTTCGCCAATGGCCTTTTCCAGGTCGCCCAAACGTACATAGCGCCGAATTCTCGCCAAGACGTATTCAGAGGAATTCTTTTCAGATTCTGGCGCCACATCTTCAGGGCCTGGTGCAGGCCGTAGCGTGGCAAAAATTGATCCCAAAAGTTGCCCTTCCAAGCCATCCTGCCCTTCGGGGATGTTAGCAGCACGGCGGCACTGTGGGTATATGTTTTCTTCGAATCCCGCCTGGAGTTCCTGGACCGTCATAATGCCTGACCGGGTCACAGAATTGGGGAGAGATTTGACGGCCGCGCTGACAACAGCATTTTCCGAKGCGACTGCTTCCAATGCGTTGACTGCCGCACCCGCTGGTTCTCCAGATTCGAGCTTTTCCATTAGGGCAATGGCCGCGGCTGTGATGCGGTGGGCTTCAAGCGAACCCACCTGGAAGTCTTGGGAGTCTTTCAGCGAGGTTTCCAGATCCGATAGCTTCTTGGTCAGCCGTTCCATTTGTTGGACTCGTTGATTCATTTTTGTAGCAAAGTCGTCCTTGATCTTTGCCAGTTCCTTTCCGTACAATTCYTCGTACTTGGCGCTCATCGCCTCWTCCGTTTTTTGCTCAAATGCAGCCTTGTCTTCGGCGTGAGCCTTTGCCTCAATTTGCATCGAATTTTCTAGAAAAGCCTCCGATCTYGCTTGCTGTTCTTTCAAAGCTTCTTCCGCTTGGGCTACGAGAGCCTTTCTTTGCTCCGAAAGTTTTTCTTCTTGGAGGTGCTCCGCCTCAATTCTAAGCTTCTTAATGAGCAGGACATATCTTGAATGATCAAAAGCGAAAAGGTCAGGTTATGTGACGGCACCAAAATGAACAGAGACTTAGAAGTTGACAAGAAAACAAACAAATTACATCATTTTCAAACGTAATGCACGYACCTATCTTCGACTTCCTTTTCTTTCATGGACAAGAATTCCTGCAAGCGCACCGCCTCCCACTTTGTTCGCTCCTCTAGGTCTTTTGCCATTTGAACCAATCTGACTTTGAGTTGTGAGCTGGTCATTTGATCTAGGTCGAGAYTCATAACATCCATAGAAGAAATCTTGGCGAGCTCCGAGTGGGCTTCCGTGAGGGCCTTATCGGATTTCTCGTGAAGCGCCTTCTTTAGTTCGGCGATTTCCGACATAATTTTGGCTTCATCCAGAGTGGAAGCTGGCGTTGAGTAAGCCATCAGAACGGGTGCAGGTTCAGGTTCAGGTTGAGGTTCAGGCACGGGCTCGGGCTCTGGAGTTWTTTTTTTTACTTCTTTTGGAACTGCCTSTGCTGGAACTGGAGGACGTTCTTCAATCTTCGCGGTGATATCAACAGGGGTAGCCACAACGGAGGCTAAAGCTGCCTCATTCTCTTTGGCAATGGATTCTATGGCTTCGGTGACTGCAGCTACCTCCTCATTCACTTCGCCAATAACATCGGCTATGATTTCATTTACCTCTAAGAGTTCCTTGGTAGACAGACTCTCATCTGCTGCTGCGGCAGCATTTGCGTTCTTTTTCTCTATGTTAGTTRTGGGRGTTGGAGAGTCAGTTGCTTCTGCCGCTTTCTTCTTCTTTTTGGGTTTTTTGACGTCCTCCAATTTCTGTGGCAGCGGAGAAGAGTCGGCTCCCAAAAAGTCGTCAAGAAGACCGTTATAGTAGGCAGCACCGGCACCTCCGGTAGCTACCAATAACGCTAGAACCGGTCCGATACCGCCGCCGCCGCTCTCCGCCGTCGGGGCAGCTCCGGTCGCACTTTCTTTCGCAGCTGTCGACGAAGATTTTCCACTAGAACCCTTGAGTTGTTGTGCGTTCAAAGCACGTTTTTCGGCCGATGTCGCAGCGGCAAAGGCACGACTAGAAGGATGCTTAGCTCTAGTGTTTCCACCGATGGCCATCGAAGGATTGCTACGACGCAGCAGACTACTGGCAGTTCTACTCGCTGTCGCAGTGGATGTCACGCGCCTCAACATAGTCTTATCAAATCCAAGATCACCGATCAATTGAAAAAATTAAATACAAACAAAATATGMGAAATATCCTTTCCGCTCCTCGAAGGCTTCGCCGATTGGATCTTCCGTGCTATTCTGGCTYCCGACACAAGAGCGAATAGAAATAGACTTCAAATGCGGATTTTTGAGAACTCGGTAGACCTGYAGTGCTGTACAGGATAATATCGATCCCAATGAGATAATRTMATGAGTTTCCTACTGTGACATCTGGGTTCACTCTTCTTCTGTTCAACGAAGCCAAAGATCACCGAGAACCAAAAAAGCGTTGCTTGTGGTTGATGCCAAAAAAATAGTACAGTTCGATACTTCGTAAGTTGGAGTACGGGTACGAGTACGAAGTACAGTACTTTCCATCGTAAGGTACGTACGGTACATTGTTACTTCTACTGGTACTGATAACTGATAGGTACAGTAGTAAAGTGCGTAGCTGTCTATGAAGTATACGTACTACTTTAGTTCCATGCGTGACTCGCTCTGCTTGTCGAGGTAATTGATCAACAGATATAGAAAAGGGGTAAAATAATAATYATCCCCCAAACTTCCCTAAAATTTTGACAGAAGAAAATGTGAACTACTTCCACTGGAATTGGTCGTACGTATTTTCTACTTCTCATACAGTATTGAATTGAACTACAGGACTTCCTATTTCGAAGTCGTACTGCAACTGTGAGMCTAACGCACGTWGATCGCAGATCACKTAAATCACGACTTTTGACTGAAATCYYACTACCGATTCAAACTGATTAGTTGTGTTCCAGGAGTACGACAACGCAATGGTTCTAGTTTTTCTTCTATTTTACTTGAACTTTGCTGGGGTCTTCATCTAAGGAGAGAATGATTCATTCTTCTCATYAATCTTTAATCCGGAGTTGAAATTATTGTGCCATCGAWAGTAGAKRAAGATTAGAAACATGAAACGAGCTGACTTTATGGGCACGATCAATTGCGCCATCACTTAGTGAATAATAAGCTWATGCTCAAAATATGGTTGCCAGTTTAAAGTAAGACCAGGRCCAAAAATGATATACATGTGATCGTAATACATTTCTTGCAAAACGCCCTTGTTTACTGGCTCGTATTTGATGTCACGGAATTGTGGGAGAGTACTAGTTTTCCCGTCAGAAGTGGTGAGAATGCCATTAGGATCGTCAATGCAAACTTTCGGCTSGGCCTCCTGCGATTCGTAATAAAGAACATGACCAAGATKCTGGAACTGCGACGCGGCATTTACTTCATCCTTGAGAGATTGCTCGATTGACTTTTTAATCGAAGAGGCCTTGAATTTGTGCCAAAGATACTCAACAATTTTTTTCTCAATGCTGCCTTCGATCCATCCATCACTGTTRCCAATATCATCTTTAAAGTTTTCTAGTACTTTCAATCCAAAATCGTTGTACCCGTACATTCTTGGCACGGCGTCCATGTGGTAACAAGTAGTGCACATATTGGCACTGCACTTGTTGATGAAATCGATCCCCTTTTTGTTTAGTGTTTCATCACCAGATTTTATAAACACGGTTGTCATGGGGCCTTCGAAAGACATCGTACGAACTGTGAGGCCCACCTCATCTTTCAATTCTCGCCATGGGTTTGGTTCGGGATAAATGGCTGGATCCATCGTTCCTGAGAACCACAAGTGAGCTACCTGCGCTACACCACCTACATAAAGAAGCAAGAGGCATGCGAAGTACTTTAGTCACAAATTTCTTTTTAGGCAAAGKGTCATTGGTAASGAAAATGCCGCCCTGCCATCTATGACTATCTATGCGAAAGGTGTATGATTGAACTTACCGGCCAACGAATGCCCTGTGAGCATTATTTCAGTGACTCCGTGTTCTTTGATTTTCTCAATGATGAAATCTTGGTGTTTGGACATACAACTTTCAACCAAAGCCAAGTAAGCGCCTTGCACACTGACAACATCCGCCACGTTTTTCCAGCGAAAACTAGAAGCAACGTAGAATCCGAAATCCCGATCCCAATCCATGGCAGTTGTTGACCCACGCCAAGCCAATATCATTTTCTTTCCAGCAACAGTCACAGAGAATGGTGGGTTAGTTACTTCGAACATACCATGATTATCATATAGTAAAACCTTCGGGGGTTCGGTCAGTCCGACGTCAGAAAGATTGTAGCCCTGGTCCAGATTGTTGAATTGGGAAATGTTAGAGAGTTTGTTGTACATACAGCCGGAGATTGTCGCACACAACCGCACATAGAACTGTTCGATTCCATTTGTCATGGCGGAAGTTGGAAAATGCTTGATGAACTCAGGTTTGATCTTTGGCTTCTCCTCGGGTTCGTCAGTGCACTTGCTCAAGGCATCTTCAAGCACGTCGGCAACGTCGTCGAAAATAGTCATGGCGTATGGGATGGTCTTTATGTCTGTGTCCGAAGGGAGATTGTGTGTTTGATGTTACTATTAGCAACACCGAATCAACAGTTTAGAATTTTAGGGTCTTGATTTTATGACTTCAGCTTCGCGAAGTCGGTTGGTGAGGTATTTCAACGTGAGAATCTCGTGTGAGCATTATGGGTCCGTCTAACTTTCAGGGTAACAAATATACCTCTTATTCTTAATTTGTGTCAAGGTTTTCGCCTCCAAGAAACATGGAATGAGATACGAGAAGCCTTCGGAGAACGCGCGCCAACTCCCGACGAATCGCGCTTTAGGAAACTGACGTACGAAGTAGAGGCTTTTAAAGTAGCAATAAATACTTCTTCACAATGACTCGATGAAGTACTAGGGTACCGTACAAATTGATCTAGTGGTCATAATTGATTTTTATTATGACCTACAAGTATTTTTGTATGCGTACTTTAATAGAGGGACTATGACCATTTCGGTAATCGTACCGTATGAGAACTGTTGTAACGCTCTTCACTGTACGGAACAGCTAAGAGCTACAAGTAACGACTCATCACCCACCTTCGTAGTGGTAAATCTTTGAAATACTTCGTCGTTTGCTCTTCGCGTGTTCTTTGGTTCACGATGAAGAGAAGGTTATTGGTTCATTCCCGAAAACATATTCTGTGATATGTTTTCGGGAATCACTTTCAGTGGTACAGATGGCACCGCCGGCCAGCTCAACTTACATATTTTCCCCCCATTTTTGGAATTTGGAATCCTGTTGCTGTCGAAAATATGTGCTTTTTTCTTCCTTGACACTTGAATCGGTTTGCCGCCAGTTTAGGGYGCGCCTGCTCCCGAGACTGGAAATGTTAAGTCAAGGATTCCGACGAAAAAATATGTCAATTACATAAATGTTGGTAGTAGTGGGCCCACCTCTACCAAAATTTATGGTTTTTTTTACATAAACCGAGCCGGGCGTGCCAAAAAGTACACAGATATATGTTTTCGGGAATGAACCATTGGGCCATTCACGTTAATAGAAGTGCTACTTCTTACTTTTGATAGACTGACAGAACGAAATTTATTATGTTTGATAGCAGCCAAACTGGTGCTATCATACAAAATAAATTTTATGTGGAACTCACAATTCAAAATTTTGAGTCCCTTGAAAGACTCAACAGAAAGGCCTGCCAAAATAAAGACTAGTTTTTCCTAAACAATGATAAAGAGAGGCACCTCTATCAAGCCCCACTTTGTTTACCACCACTAGTACTAGTAACAAGAAGAATGGTGCCACGTAAACTATGTCCTCCTGATCAGTGCTCTTAGTCAGTACATTCTATTTTGTCTCTTTGTTGCAGTAAAGAGAGCAACAAGGCAAGGAAGAGGAGGCCCGCAACCACTGAGATGGAGCTCATTGTGGCCCAACCAGCCTTGAATAGGCAGGAAGCTCATTGTTGTCCAATCCCTCCTCAAACTATTTTTGTTAAAAAGATACCAAGAGCTGGCACGTCACACAAACCGATATAATGGTGTTTTAAGTTTCCTGCGTGCACGAAAACAAATTCCCGCGCGTGTTTTTNGATATTTTCGTCCGTTGAGCCTATTTCAAACCCTCATTTTTTCGTTTACTTAGGGTCTCCGACACGTGCTCGACCGAGCAAAAATTGGATTACTAGGGTACTGTACAAATTGATCTAGTGGTCATAATTGATTTTTATTATGACCTACAAGTATTTTTGTATGAGTACTTTAATAGAGGGACTATGACCATTTCGGTACCGTATGAGAACTGTTGTAACGCTCTTCACTGTACGGAACAGCTAAGAGCTACAAGTAACGACTCATCACCCACCTTCGTAGTGGTAAATCTTTGAAATACTTCGTCGTTTGCTCTTCGCGTGTTCTTTGGTTCACGATGAAGAGAAGGGTTATTGGGCCATTCACGTTAATAGAAGTGCAACTTCGTACTTTTGATAGACTGACAGACCGAAATTTATTAGAAGTATGTTTGATAGCAGCCAAACTGGTGCTATCATACATCATACAAAATAAATTTTATGTGGAACTCACAATTCAAAATTTTGAGTCCCTTGAAAGACTCAACAGAAAGGCCTGCCAAAATAAAGACTATTTTTTCCTAAACAATGATAAAGAGAGGCGCCTCTATCAAGCCCCACTTTGTTTACCACTACTAGTAGTACTACTAGTAGTAGTAACAACAAGAAGAGGAATGGTGCCACGTAAACTATGTCCTCCTGATCAGTGCTCTTAGTCAGTACATTCTATTTAGTCTCTTTGTTGCAGTAAAGAGAGCAACAAGGCAACGAAGAGGAGGCCCGCAACCACTGAGATGGAGCTCATTGTGGCCCAACCAGCCTTGAATAGGCAGGAAGCTCATTGTCGTCCAATCTCTCCTCAAACTATTTATGTTAAAAAGATACCGAGAGCTGGCAACTCCACCAGCCAGTTGATGGTCTCMATCCGGTCCCCCATGATCCAATCTTCCTGTAAAGTGATCCATCAATTCAAGAAGCACTTAATAGTATCTCTTCCATTGCCCTGGCTTGTTCACGCTGCGTGGAGGCGTCAAGGGTCTGCCACGTCACTTCCTTGCCTTTTCACATCACTGGTGTGCTCCTATTGTTGCTGCTACCATTGGTTTGTTGGTTCCTCTTGGTATCCTTGTTTATTGCTTGCTGTGGTTGTTTTAGTGTCTGTTTTGCTAATTCTTTGCTTCATTTTGTGACCTAGTTCAATACAGTTATTCAGCAGCTTGGCGGCATGTTTTTTTTGCTACTATCCTTTAGTTGCCGGGAATGATCATCATGTGGGCGAGCATGGGGACCATCATGAATGTGAGAGTTGCAAAACTGGTTGCACTCAACACATATTTATTACTATTTTGGCAACTGTATTTGGCTCACAAGCCATCCCTGGAGAGGTGCCAATATGGTTGCATACTAGTAAAAATCACTACAACAAAATAGGTAGAAATCCTAACACATGTGCATATGGAATGGTGTGAGTATGTGTATTGCCCTATAGGGAATTTGTGTAGATTTACCAGAATCCTGTACCAAAAAAAGGAGATATGGGTTGCAAAACATAGGTACTTGACCAGTACAGAAAGAAAATGTTACTAAAATATCAACCACCATGTAGAACACAGTACATGATCTACTATGTAGGTGTGACAAGGTGCATCAAGCCAGTGCGCGGAGTTCAACAGTATCAGAGTGATTGATGAGAAGTACTCACACAATTGCGCACAAGGAAAATTCTATGAAAAAAACACAAGTTGGGAGTGTAATTCCTCTTGACAATCGTGGTGGTGTTCCCCATCAGCTTCATGGGGACCTGCCCATTGCTCTAAGGATATATGATACCCYCTTGGTTGGACCACCATAGACTGCATAGATTCTCCTAACAGYAGTTTCAGAAGAAGCACCAGCATGAGTCAGCTGCTCCATGCACTTCCAGAACTTCAACCTCCTGTAGTACTTGCTCTTCACTCTGCTGTGCTCAGCAGCAGTAAAGTCCTTTGCATGCTTGTTCAGACCAACACCCACTTCCCATTCRTTCCAGAGGACATAAAGATCATTAGGACACTTGCAAAGTTCTGCTACTCCACTCTTGCTAGTACTAGCAGCTTCCAATGCACCACTGTTCAACACANTAGCGAAATCATGTCCGTCCAAATGCAATTTTGAAGGGACGGCACACGCGCTGAGTTGATGATGTGAAGAAAGAATCGTCCGCAGGAGTGTGATGAGCACCGTACTATTACTAAAAGTAACACCCCGTCCTCTGATTTTGGTTGCACGTGCTGTCCCTATCTAAAAAGAAAATTCGAGGCGCGCGCGCCGAGGATTTTCTTTTTAGATAGGGACAGCACGTGCAACCAAAACCGACTCCGAGGCAAGTGAAACTGCTGAATTTTGCTTTAGGAAGGATCCTTTTCCGAGGCCCCCCGGGCCGAGGAAAAGGACCCTTCCTAAAGCAAAATTCAGCAGTTTCACTTGTCGAGGAGGAGGACAGAGGATAGGGGTGTTAGTTGTGTAATCCAATGCTTGCAAGGTTGAGCAGTGGAGGAGACCCTTGCCAGCGATTGGTGTTACTGTTTCGTTGCTGCTTTTCTGGGGGGACAACAAAAAACCTGCATTCCTACGTGATTTACGTAGGCCTGGTACAAGATGGTACCAAAGTAATTTTTGGTGGTACCGGAGTACCACTTTTCGCGCACGCGCGTGTATCACTCTAACTAGTGGTTGGTCGCTAATTGCTAATAGTGGGAAATAGCTTGTCCCTCCAGTAGTTAGCTGTATGTGACTCCTTAGTAACGATCATTTCTATTCACAACTCGCGGGATTCCATTCACATTAGTCATGGAATTTGTACCACGTTGTACTGGTGTACGTTGATTTTGTACTACATCCTACACACTCGTTCTTGTTTTCACTCACTCACTCACTAATCTAATCATAGTTTAGAAAAAGCAACGATTCGATCGGCTTCTTTTGAACTAGACCATGGGAATAGGCCTCTGTTTCCACTTGATTGTCATCTTGTTTACAACAACGCGTTGCTGTAAGTGACCCCTCTTATTGTCCGGCTTCAATCTTTTTGTTTTAACTATGATTTGTCCTGATGCTTTTTTCTTTAAACATCGTCGATTGGTTTTCGTCGTCGTAACAACCACGGCAACAACAACAACAACAACAACGACAACACCACGAGCAGCTTCTTCTTTTCAAAGTAAGTTGTGCGCGCATCTACGGAACAGATGAGTATAGTAATTTGTAATCCTCACTCCTTGGATGTTTGTTGCTTTCTTCTTTTTTGAGGTTCCCTCAACAACAACAACATTATGGTTCGAACGATTCCTCCACGACGCAGTACTCGCTCTTCTTCTTCCAGGAATACAGCGCCCCAGACTAGGTCCAAAGCTGCAGCTGGGAAGCTGGTGACCAGGAATCCATACAAGAAGAAGACTCGTCGTCCTTCTTCTTCATTGCCGGTTGCTGCTGGTATGGATCAACCTTCGGCTGGTCGTGCGAATCGTACGAATCCTTCTGCTGCTGCGAAGAATCGTACGAATCCTTCTGCTGCTGCGAAGAATCGTACGAATCCTTCTGCTGCTGCGAAGAATCGTACGAATCCTTCTGCTGGTGGTGCTGCAAAGAATCGTACGAATCCTTCTGCTGCTGGTGTGAATCCTTCTGCTGGTGTGACTGCTGGTGCGAATCCTTCTCCTGGTGCGAATCCTTGTTTTGGTGCTGGTGCGAATCCTTCTGCTGGTGCGAATCCTTCTGCTGGTGCAAATCCTTCTGCTGCTGGTGTGAATCCTTGTTCTGATGGTGCGAATCCTTCTGCTGCTGGTGTGAATCCTCCTTTGATTCCACCACCAGACGACGACGCTCCAACTATGCTTGAAGACCTTTCAAGGAAGCTTGGAACTCCTTCGGCTGACGACGCAGCTCCGACTCTTACTGTGCTTGAAGACCATTCAAGGAAGCTTGGAATCGAAGTCGAGGAACTGCAACTGCCTACTGCACCCACTGCTGTTCACACCAATGTTTTTGCTGCCAATGGTTTGGAAGNTATTGACCTCTTTTGCAACATCCTTTAGTAGTGATCTCCTATCTGTGATTCCTTGCTATTGACTTGCTGCTCCATTACCTTTGCAACACTTTTCAAGATACAARGCAAGCCCCAGTACAACGCAAGATTGATGATCCATAGTAGATCCAAGCAAGATCTGTTTTGGACAGTCCCTCTCTTCTCTTCTTAGACCACTTCATCTTTGCTGTAAGTAATTTAGGAAACTCAGCAGATCTTTCCAAGCTGTCCTTTCCAACATGCTGTGCTGTATCATCATTCCGGTCAATCAGATGGAACTGGAACTTAATCATTGCAAGATATGGAAGTCTTTTAATTAGATGACTGCGGTTTACCATTGGTTCAAGTGTTTGCAAGAACYCATCCTTGGTAAGAGGTCAATCCATCTTACTTGCTTGTCCAAGGCCTCTAGTTTCCTTTTTAATCACAGCAGAAATCAAATTGTTTGCTTGCTGGGACTTGGTAGGATTTCCACTGCCAACACCGGCAATAACAGTCCATTTGTTGTGCAGCKTGTTTGGAATGAATTACAATAAGGCTTTCTTGTAACAATAAACAAGGGTTGAAGACATCCCTTCAGTAGGATTATCGTCCACACCAAGATCCTTTCTACCAAACACGTTCTTTGCAAAGATCTTGTAGATATGAAGTGGCATCATGTGAATAAGTATCATTGGGAAAACAATTATGGTTTTYGCCTCCTTCATGGACTCGGCCCTCCAAATGATCCATTAGCTCCAGTAGAATCTTATGGTATCTAGTCCATTGCCTTGGCTGGTGGTTCACATCTCCTGGAGGCGTCACAGTCCCCCCACACCTTTTCCATGCACGGGGAGGACGACACTGGTGCACCTGTTGAGCTGTTACCATGATTTGCGTTTGCTACTGTTTTTTTGCAATTTGCTGGCGTTGCTTTTAATTTTTGTTTTGTTTCTTGTACTCTTATCTGAGGACTGCTGCATTATTTTGTGAGCTCAAATTTAGCTCATTTTTTTGCGCAAAAACAATGCGCGCACCTCTCGTGAGGAGGAGTCAACAGGAGGAGGGAGGAGTTCTTGTTGCAAAATAGTAGTTGCACTCTCAGTATAATTTGCTCTGTGTTAAGCAACCAAAAGTGGTACAGATACGGCCACAACAGAAAAGCTAATACAGTTGCACGGTAGAATTCCTACCACAAAATGTGTATCACATGTAAGTAGGGTGGTAAATGGAGTAGCAGTTTTTTGGGTATTAGCCTACGTAGAATTGTACATCTTTTAAGTACTAACCGATTCCTTCGACCGTTGTGAGAGATGGTGGGTTGCAAAAATTTGGTAGTCGTACCGTAACATGCTTACCGTTCGAACTACCATAGTACCCTGCGTACGAAGTACGAGTACGAACTTCTACTTGAGGTACAGTACCCTACTTTACAACAAACCACGACAACAAAACGGCTCGAGCACTTTTTCCTTTCTCGTACTCTACGGTACTGTATTTAACTCACGACTGAAAGACGACACCATGTACAAATGAGTCAAAATGAGCAAACAGTAGATCCAAGATACTCGTAATCGTAAATCGTAATCGTACGCGACGAGACGCGACGCGATGAGACGTGGCGGCACAGACGAAGTTACGGTACGATTACTAGTAATGCTTGCATCATGGATCTATCCGATCCGAATACAGTACGGGACATATTGATGCCACAATTTACTTCTTGAACAAACAATAAATGAACTGCTCACTACTATTCAGACGATTACCTTGTCTTTTGCTACTGCGCCCATCCTTTGGCAAGGCCTTCTTTCTCACCAACACCGGCACRTTAGCACCATCGGCTGTAGCATCGGCATCAACATTGGCATCAACATCGGCAATGATTGAAAACAATGTTCCGCGATCTTTCAAAAGCGACGARTACATAGTCGATGACTTTATCGAAGCTGCTTCTGAGGCAGCGGATCAACGTGCCGAAGCTAGAGCTGTCATCGAGAGAACAAAAGATATATCAGCTGTCCCAAAGAAAACAGCAGCAGCAACAACCAGACAAAACCCTATCGATATTTTCGGTATCGATCACGTTGTCCTAAAAGTCGACGACTTGGAGGGAATGACACAATGGTATGAGAAAGTCTTGGGATGCAAGGTCGCAAGACGCAATGAGAAATTTCAAATGGTCCACTTGGATGCCGGAAGTTCTCTGATCGATCTCGTCGACAAGGCGGGACCGCTTGGTGGAGGCGATACAAAGAACAAGGACTGCGGGGGAACCATGAACCGGACGCAGCAAAAAATGGACCATTTGTGCTTGGGGCTAAACAATTTCGACGAGGATGCCATCCGGGAGCATCTATTGTTGCACGGAGTGACCATTGTCATGGAGCTCGGTGTTCGGTACGGAAAGGGCGGATTCGGCGAATCCTTGTACTTTGAAGACCCCGAGGGAAACCGGATCGAGATTAAGAAGAGCCAGTACACCTCTGTCGCTTAAATGCAGACCGGAATAAGAGAGCACACACATGTATTCGACRTGGATCGAAGACAGAGCCTCGTCTTCGTTTTCAATCCTGTGATACCGTACGGTGCCGTACATAGAAAAGGATTTTTGCATTCTATGCGTAAATCTCCATGGTTTCGCCAACCAATACAAAAGGAAACATCAAAGATAATAGAAAATACAATACAATACAATACAATACAATCTAATAAAGATAAAGGGAAACATGACTTAAAGGTTATTAGAAAGAACCAGATGGTGAAAAAAGACGAATACCGGTCGATRAGAAATCTATCTTTGTATTGTTGATAAAATTCGAAAGGATCTCGGACGGCACTTCGTATTCCCATACCCAAATTTCKACGGTTTTTGATCCCCGTTGCCACTCCAACCCACACCGCAATATTTATGCGCGCACGCCGTCCCAAAGGAGGCATCCCAAAGCAATGCACAAGGTGTTTGTGACATCGTGGTGTCGGTGGGCAAGGTTCAGGGCGAAGGAGAAAAGGCARATTGATCCAAACCGTAGGGCACCYGCCCAATCAGCGTTCGGGAGCCACAACACGTTTGCTGCGGAAAGACTCGCAGCAGCCATCAACCAACGTTGGAGGAAAAGCATGCGCGGCTGTGTCGAGGCGCCCCGCTTGACCATGGTCTGCAAAAAAAACTCCATCACGTAGGACGTGTTGAGAAGGAGCCAAAAYACTCGCCATTCGATACCGTAYGGAATGTTGCAAAGAATGTCGCTCTGAGCATTGATCTGGGTATGATGGTAAGAATGRTTTGTAGTGCTGTTATTGTTGCTTGCCAGGGCCATCGAGATGTTCAGCCCATGCAACACAACGTGTTTATAGAATAGATATTGGGTTTTCTTGATGCGGTACAAAGCTACTTCTCCTCGTTCACCATCGTCGCCACTTTTATTGCTATTGCCTCTGCTATTCCATATCTTGTTTCGCGGTTTTGCCTCAGTCGTGCCGACTTTAGAGGTCGAATGATTTTGCTTCAGCCAGTTCTGGCTGAAACTATGRACGGGGAATCGGTGACGCACTAGCCACGGGGCGGTCACAAGCCACARACAAAAGATTCGCGCCAGCAGCATCGGTGGGAATATACGGTSGCGGTAGTTGGTTGTGTTCTCGCCTRGCAACAACCGATGCAATGTGTGTAGATATACTGACTGAAAGAGGTTCAAACACTGGTAAAAGGAGTGCTCGATCATTTCCGATTGCGTCACAATCGCCTCTCGGTGCAACGTCCCCGATTGGCCGGGAACATTCCGGACGTGTTTGTGGGGAAAATCATTCGCCGCAGTCAGGGTCAGCACCACACCCGAACACCCTAGCAGAACATCGTACCAAAAAACGAAGTCCTTGGATTCGGCCCATGGTACCGACCAAGAGGACGACCCAAGCGTYGATGTTGATTTCGCTAGGTGATTGTTGCTGTTGCTGTCGCTATCATTATTGTGGCTACGAATTGACACGAAGCACGAGAAGGCACCCAGCAAAAGCCAACATAAATGGAAGCACCCGGCCAGGCGGTGGGACCAGCCTCGCTTGGCTAYAAATAAGAAGGAGAAGCGAGGCAGTATTTGGATCGCGACAAGCAAAAAAAATACTGCGGTCATTGCGAGGGCGATCCAASTCGCAGCGAAAGCTACCGATAGAGACAACGATTCTTCTCCTTCTTCGTCGATGATTGTCACCATGATCTTGCTATATTCGTTCTATTGTGTTTGCAGTGTTTTGATTGGAAGGCTTGATATCGTGGAGCGGGGAAGAAATCATTTCCAAGCTGAGTCGAACTCTTCGTTCTTTCYAAGGTGCGCATAGGGTTAGTCTCTTGCGAGCGACTATTTTTGTATTCGTATGTCTTCTATTTTGGATTACATTAGTCAGAAGCGGTAAGTAATTGTCAGCTTTCAGCGATGCATATTGGTACGGTACAGCGGGAACAGAAGAGAAATTTTTACGACTACGACATTGTAGCGTAGACCGATGCGATTGAACTCGCTCGAAAAAAGCTGAAGATTAACTGAATTTTACGGGACTTTTCATTGTTTTTCCCATTTTTGGGGTGAAAAATGTGCTTCAATTTTTAAAAAAATGATAGAACTTCGTTGATCATCATGGCTAAGAATACGAAGTATGGTACAGTACTTAACAACATGCCGGTATCATACGGTATGGTACTCCCTCAGTTGTGAGTTTCGAACCGTCAGAACTTTGAAGGACGAAGCGCATCCATACTCTGGTACGATTACGTACTTGTASCATTATCTCAATAATATCGAAGAACAGTAAAGTGCTGCGACGCATCGACTTCCCTCCAAAGAGAAAACAAATTATACGAACAACACGAAAAGATGGATCCCACAGATCTCGAAATCATTAAATCTTTGCCGGGAAACGACAAATGTTTCGACTGCGGTGAACCTTCCACGCAGTGGGCCTCTGTTTCCTATGGGACGTTATTCTGTATCGATTGCAGCGGAAAACGAAGGTAAAAAACGATTACAGACACTGACATTCAATATTCGTAGACGTGAAGTGACGAGAACGCAATGCTGTTATCTTTTTTCCATTTTTCGGTTGTGATCGAATAGTGATCGGTGGATCGATCGATTCAAAAATCACTGAAGCATTATAGCGGAAGATGCAGTACCAATGCTTTCGCGAATGATACTCTCACGAAAGTATTCTTGCTTGCAAAACTGAATAATGCGGGAAACAATAGAGCACTGGGAGTCCACGTTGATTTTGTGCGTTCCCTGACACTAGATTCCTGGAAACCGGAACACGTCGCGGTGATGAAAGCTGGGGGCAACGACAGGTGTTTCCGCGCCTTTCGAGCAGCCAAGATTCCGATGGCGGTCACTGATGGCGGYGGACGGAACAGCCTGGAAAACAACGTCGAGGATTTTCGCGAACGCTACCACCATCCTGGGGCGAAAGACTACAAGCGGGAACTGCTCCACGAAGCGACAAAAACTTGTGGTGAAGGCGGCAACAACGARGGCATCGACGCGCGCGAACTKGATTCTTCCGAACTAGAACGCATAGATACGCTGGCCCGGATGGATCCCGAAATTCCTTGGCATCTTCCGGTCCCGTTCGTGGTGTACAAACTGTTACTATTATCGATACGAGTCRTCTTCGGGATTCCTTTCCTGCTGCTAGCATTGTTCTTTTGCCTGCTGCGTTTTATTKTGTGCCCCGATAATACGCTGGTACAGGGGCTGGGTTGGATGGGTCTTGTTCTTCCTGCGATCGGCGCGGTGCTTTTCGGGCGCAAGTTGTGCCTTGATTTCACGCGGGGACGGATCCCGCCGTTCAAATCGGCCCAAAACCTGCTGGCAGACAAAATGAAAGAAGGGCGGGCTATCCGAACCCCTGGCTACGACGTCTTTTTGCCACCGAGGASCAACACCAAAGATGATGGCGACGACGCAGGGGACAATCCGAATAACAACAAAYGTGTCGGCTTGATGCTGTATCCGGGTTGGTTGATCAACCACACCGCCTACGCTCCGATCGCATCGAAACTGAGTGACTGTGGCATCTTAGTGGTCGTCGTGTCAATGGAACCCTTCCGTGCGAGCGTCAATAGCACCAAGATGGAAACCCAACGTGCCCTGCACATAATGTACGARCTTCTGACGGAGATCACACCGGATTGGCCCGTGTCGGAATGGGCTCTGGGTGGTCACTCGGCGGGTGCCCATCTGGCCATTAAGGTTGCTGGGGCCACCAGTCCCGGGACCTCCAAGCTAGTGTTGTGGGGCTGTGGAGCCCGCCCCATCGATTACCGGTCCTGCTCTCTAGCAGATAACACTTCCATCGAGGTCCTGGCTCTTAASGGATCGGAAGACGCATCGATCAATATGCTGTCATTTTCCCAGAAAATGGAGTTCAGAAACATCCTGCCTCMGACCACCGTTTACCGAACTATCGAGGGAGGAAACCACAACGGGTTCGGTCACTATGAAAAGYCAAAGAACAAGAAGAGGGACGGGGTCCGGAAGATCACACTCGACGAACAACAAGATACGGCGGTAAACGAAACTGTGCGATTTCTAGTCGAGGGAGGAAAGGCGGCAGTGGCAGACATTTGCCCCAAAAACACTGTGCCTGTCACGTCTTCTGCACCGAGCACAGAACCATCAAAGAAGAACAAATAAATTATAAAATACTTGCTACTATATGTATATAGATAGACACAAAGATTTACAAAACTCCACCGTTAAGTATTGCATACTAGAGACCAACAAATAAAAGAACGTTGCAATTTACAGAATGACGTCTCGGCTATTTTATGAATTCGAGAATGGACATAGGCGATAATTTTTCCGGGTTGAGTTCGAAGTGAAGACAGTGGAAGACCGAAGCCGGAACAAGGCCAAGGCGTTCGTATGTTATCCAAAGAGTTCCAGAGTCAMGAAATAGTCGAGGGCATCGCCAGCTGTGGTTACAATCTTGTTTGTAAGGTACGAAATTCCAAGTTGAGCTTGTTACTTTGCTGGTCTACTTTTATTTCGGGAATACTTGCACCAAATCACACTAAAATATTACGCTGCTTTCAACACGAATACTATTGATCTCAATCATATAATTTTATTGTAAGAAATCACCGGTTTACACATATATATGACTCAAACCTCAGTTTTCTATTTTTTGTCAATAACATGAATTTTGAATTTTGAGATGGAGACTCACAAAACACTAGCAAGATTGGCTGAGTCCACAGGGTCTCCCTTGTGACGGTCTTCTTTTCTCGGCATTATTGATATGTGAAGAACTAACAGTACACATGCAGTCCAGCAGCTGCTGTATCATTCAAAGTACTGCTGAGTATTGTTTTTGTTACCATATTCTAAATATTTGTAGGTGGACAAAAATGCAATATGTTACTATTGTGAATGTCTATATGCTCTTTGTTTGTGCCATATAATTACSTGTTTACAATAAAGAGTGATCTTGTGAGTGTGGCTGGTTATGTGAAATAAGAAGCAAGCAGTTAGTTGCTGTTTCCTAAAACTAAGTTGAACTCACTATCTGTACAGGCTTGCATGCAGACAGTACCAAAAAATACTATTGCAACAARTACTAGACCACACGATGTACTACTAGTCCTGATAGGAAGTATCTGCTGAAGATCTAAATAGTAGAACTTCAACAACATGTAAGTCACTAACTAATTTAAAATGAACAACGGCAAGCTTATTTAACTGTCTTTTCAATGGATAAGAGAACATTTTTTTTGTTTTTTGGTCTCCTGGTGTATTTTTTCACAGTGTGGATGAAGTTTCTGTATYACCTCTCATAAATAGTACTAGTACAGCACTACAAGCTGTTTGATAAATGGTGATAACTTATTATATGGTGAGGCTTCCGGTGATTGTCCTTTCCTTACTTTGGTCTTTGCTCCAAGGGTCCTTGCCATTGAGGAGGACAGTTGCTACTATTAGTGCTGCTGTTATTAGTGGCTTTTCATGGCAAAATAATTTGCAAACTAAATAGTAGTAGTACTACTAGTAGTATGTAGTAAGTTCTTAT